CATCTCCATCTCCTTCCTTTGATCGTCCTTGATAGGGGTATGGATCTTGCTCTCTCATACAGTTGTTAGTTGGATACCTTTTCAGGCCAGTATATTTTTAGGATTCTCCTAAGGCATCTACGATGGAATGACTCCAGCTTTTCATCGTCTTTCTTGGAGGTTCTCCATAATTCAGAACAATAAGCAAAACAGATAAAACATTTGTGTTGAGGATCTTAAGTTTGGTCCTTGTGCTGTATTGTGCTGAGTTCCATACTTTGGTGGGCGATGCGAAAGAAGTCCTGGCTAAGCCTAGTCTTCTCCCTATGTCTGCCTCAGTTCATCCCGTCTTGTCCATTGTGGCACCCAGGTAGATAAATGTTTCAACATCTTCTACTTCCTTGCTCTTTATCCTGATGACATCATTCTTTTTCCGTTTATTCTCATGCTTTTTGTCTTGTCCGTATTAATTTTTAAGCCTGTATATTCAGAGACGTCATGTAACCTCCTGGTCTTTTCTTGCATGTCGCACCGTTCACGGTAGCTCGGTCGGTAGAGCGCTCGCTCCGTGATCGGGAGGTCGTGAGTTCGAATCTCGGCCGCGACAGACCTAAGTCGATAAAAAATAGGTAGCAACTGTTCCTTCGCCAATGCGCTCGGCACTTTGAAGTGAAAGTTGCGGGTCCTTCGGATGAGACCTTAAAAACCGAGGCCCCGTGTCACGGCAGGCGTTGGCACGATAAAGATCCCTCACTGCTCAATGGCCCTGAGTGCCGAGTAAAGGTCAAAATTTGAAGCCCTTCACCGGTATATGGTGACGTCTCTATATGAGTGAAAAATTCTCGAATGGGACGTAAAACAATATACAATCAATCAATCAATCTTGCATGTCGCTTTATTTGCTGGAAATAATTGCAAGGTCGTCTGCATAATCCAGGTCTTCTAAAGTGGACATAAATTTCCAACGTATACCTCTAGATCTCTCCCTATTCATTTTGCTTTGACTATATGCATTTAAGATACAGGTATAGCATTTTTGTTTGAAAATTTTAATACAATGATTATAATTATTCTTTACTTATTTAGACTCAATTTGCTTCGATTATTTTCATTATAAATTGTACAACATTTCTTTTCCAGTTTCGAAAACCATGCTCAATGATAAAAGACTCGATTAGAAGTCAGGAAATAATAATTTTAATATTTAGGATTAGTTAATAGGAAAATTAGAGATGTCTCCCAGCAAATTAAACTCAATTGAATGAGTAAATCTATACTGTTAATTACTGTAAGGACTTGGCAATAACAATGTAACCAGCACGTTGTTAACAGTAATGAGATTTATATGTTTTATGCTTTGCTTTGCAAACCAAAAAAGTGTTAAACGTGTTACTACTAATGAGTTAGGGAGGAAAAGAGAAGTCCATAGCCATTAATTCAAATCTCCTGGAAATGTAAAAAAAAGGGGGCTTATGTGATATAAACAATTCTAAACAATATACACTTAATAACAATTTGAAAAAGATAGGCGAACAAGGCGTGCAGAATGCCTCTAGCTTCAATATATAAAAATCATATTTAATTTGTGAATTAAGTATTTAGAGTAAAAATCTTATTTTTGAAATTTATGAAATTATCACAAACGGAACTTTGCGGAAATTTTTCTCAGCAACAATTATTCTATTATTAAAAAAATAATATGGTATTCTTGGGTTCCAACCCTCGCAATAAAAATCCTGATTATCATTTTGCTGCGAGACTAACATGCTAACTACTATACTACACAACTCCTAACAAATCATGGCATTTAAATCATGTTTTGATATGACTCTTGACTAAATGGACTAAGTATTTCTCAGAAATATATGAATGTTGTGTCATAAAAGTGGATTTTCAAGGTATGGTGGGTCTTTGCTCCATGTTTTTGTTAACAAAAAATGTACATTTTTATGCATACTTTAAGGATATACTTTCCAAAAAATAGAGTGATGGTCCAGTCATATGGAAAAATTGTTTTATAATATGTGAAAATGATCCTTTTTCTCCCTCTTTGGTGTGTGTATGCTATTTCATAGACAAATAATCTCAATCTTTGTGAGATTTTGAAATTGTGGAGATTTTACATAGAGTATACTACAATGTTAGAAGAAATGTCAAAGAAAATTTTGCTATAATTGAGATTTAATTTTTCACCTCATATTTGTCACACCATAGCCATTTCGCTCGCCTTCTTCGCCCATCTTCTTTGAAAACGTAACTGAAACATGAAAACAAACTGAAATTGATTACAAAATTTACTGAGGCTATCTTTGTATAATTACAGTTAAGAATCTAGGTAATATACTTAGTAAAAGTATTCACTCCATTTGGTTTTCTTCAATCGTGATACTGTTTCTGACATTTTCCGGGAGAGGGAGGATCCGCTACAAACGAACATAGTGTCACTGGGTCTTCGTACAGCAAATATGAAGTCCTGCTGTCTATATCTTTCAAGGCATTTCATTTTAAATACGAATTTAATACACCTTTTTTTAAAAAAAATAGCATAATCATGCATCTTATCAGTCTGTCCCTTGTTATATATAAAAACAACAATAAATCAGTGTCCCATTTTTCAGTACTTGTAAATCTTGGAAAATTTTTGAGAACCGTTCTTCTGCATGAAGTATATATAGTGAGTATAGCTTTTGGTTTGGAATATCAATTGTAGCTTACTATAAAATGCTGATACTCACGATGAATAATGGAAATTCAGATACTGAATAAGAATTGTAAGCCCTAAAAAGGATAATGAACATTTTAATACGAAGTTCACGGAGTTGAAAGCTGTTATTGCTACACAGCTTCTAAGGTAAATATTAAAGATTAAGCAAATAGTTTATATTGTATAACCTATGTTGCCTACGTCACAATGACTTACGTTTGTGGTTTATAAAGCGTAAACAGACCCAATGCAGGTTATACAGTTTAAACTGGGTAGCTATTAAATTAATTTCTTAAAGGACTTATCGCATGTTTCTAAATTATTTGAAATTAAAAGCGTATTACGTTCCTTATGACCACAATGACCACAATTAATAAATTCAGTGATTTACTGTGGATAAATCGCATGCAATTACTGACTCAAATGAAAACCCCTGAATTAAAAATCTTAAGTTAATTACAGTAGATAGCGATCACGTGACCCTGTGACGTCAAAGGCGACAATGGCTCTTCAATAATCTTACTAAAATATGCGCGATACAACCTGAATTTTCTGCGTTGTGGACGACCAAATCACTTATTTTATCGATATAAAATTGTATATCAACCTTATATGTTAGAATTGTCAGCAAGGAAAAATCTGAAAAATATGTTAACATTGTAAAAATAGCAGCGACGATAGCGAGGGAGACGCAGCGAAGACGAAGAAACTCGCCATGATAATGCAATTTGATTTGTCATCTTATCACATGTATTAACTTATTTGATTCACAAATCAAACATCATATAACGTTGTTATTCTTCGTTTTGTATATAATATTAATTTATGCAAGTCTTCATATGTTTTTTAAAAGATGGCGATCTTGAAAAATAATTTCCCGATCACGAAACATTGCCGTAATTAGAGCTACAGGTTCTAAATGTTTTGAATAAAAAACCAAAATATCTTAAATGCCTTATACCTTAGAACTAATTAATGTTTCTATAGTAATTGAAAAGTATATAAGGAATTTTTTTCCAGCAATTTTCGTTATATAGCTGCATTTGTCATCGATAACTCCGTTAATAGTGTGTATATCCTCGTCTCTTTATCACCGAATTGTCGCCTATGACGTCAGAGCAGTATTTCGCCGAAATCCGACTGAAATATGAATATTGCCGTATTTAAATTTCAACTCTCAATATCTCTTAAAATATGCTTTCAACAACGTTTATTGTATTTAGTATTTTAATAAATAAGGTTAAAGATAATATTTTTCATAAAATTACGATTTTTGAAAGATCACGCGATAAGTCCTTTAATTGTATGTAATGAAATATACGGAGATAACGAACGGTATTCAAGCTCAAAAGTCCATTAAACAATACAAAATAGAAGCAGAGCAAACACGAACTCCAAAACATCAGAGGTGGGATCAGGTGCCATGGAGGAGTGAGCATCCCCTGCCGACCGGTCACACCCGCCGATTGCTCCTTGTCATGATCGGGAAATAACTGAAAAATCCGTCGAAAATTCAGTGTGTAAATAATGGCCGAACAATTACTATGATTGATTGATTTTATGTTGTTTAACGTCCTTCTCGAGAATGTTTCACTCATATGGAGACGCCACCAATTGCCGGTGGAGAGCTGCAAATTTTGTCCTATACTCGGCACTTACGGCCATTGAGCAGTGAGGGATCTTTTGCCAGCACCTACTGCGACACGGGACCTCGGTTTATACGGTCTCGTACGAAGGACCGGTCTCCACGTCCCACAGTGGGATTCGAACCCGCGACGTAAGGATCAACTCCTTACTTCGCGACTCTAGAGCTGACGCTCTAACCACTGCGCCACGCCGGCGACAACAATTAGTATGAAAAACGTCAGTCAGCATTTCACTCAATCATAAATTGTATTTGCTGACAAGGTCATTGTATTGACCATAAAACTTACGAAATGTTGACTTTATAGACTGCTGATATTCTTGTTTTATCAAATTGTTTGTCTATAATTCACCTCGTTTTAGAAATTGTACATACGTAGACCATGCTCTTGCGTATCGAATCAACTGAGCGATAAAACCCCCCGGGGGGGGGGGGGGGTTGGCCCCTGGGTCTACACCCCAAACCCCAAACTGGTTGGCCCCCCCCCCTTTCAAGAATCCTAGATCCGCCACTGACCACAGCTGATAAAATATCAGAGAAGATCACAATTGCAGGTCTTATCAGTTGATCATTTCTCCACTATTTGTCAATATGACTTTCATATTGTTTCCAATTCTGTTCTTCATTTGGAAAATAAATCTGATTGCTGCCGATTCAGGACATAGCCTTGAAATGGAAATAACGGAAATTCGAAAACTTTTACGAGAACAGAACCAAAGAATTGGCATTCTTGAAAATGAAAATCAGCTTTTAAAGAAGGAGGTGCTAGAGTTGAAACACACTGTGGCCAAAATGAGTGATAACATTTCACATTATGAAGAGAAAATAATAGACTTGGAAACCTCAGACGTCAAACCAAACGCACGTAAGATTAGGATAATATCGTGCCCGTATTTTTCACAAGAATAATTAATCTTTTTTCCACGCGAAGATTTACATGACGAAATTGCATGGTAATCTTGTTAAAGTGAGCTATTTTATACTTGATAAGGTCGTCTGCTTCTACCCATCACTGATTCTCCTTCCACTACACCTGTTCCGGTAGACCCTGTTGCCTTCTATGCCTATATGTCAGCTAACGAAGCCTCTCCAAGCGCCCACTTCACTCTGAAATTCGATGTAGTGAAGACTAATCTCGGAAACGCTTATAGCAAGCACAGCGGAACATTCGTTGCACCTGTTTCGGGTGCATATGTGTTTACATATACCATATATGCCCAGACTCGTGGTGCAATCTTTTTAAATTTGTTCGTTAATGACGCAGTCTTTGGAGGATCCATAAGTGATACTCAGGAAACAGGTGACTGGGACTCAGAAACCTCAACCGTTGTCGTGTCACTTAACAAAGGCGATGACGTAAACATCCGGACCACCCAAGCTAGCTCAACTATACTGAGCTATCACGAGGCTAAGACGACATTTGCTGGTTGGAAAATCAGTAATGCTTAAGAAAAAACAAAATGAACTTCAAGTGATATTCTAAATAAATAATATGAATTATTATTCTTGTTTCAATCAGTTAACCTATTCATAATTGATTAAAAACACGTTAGTGAACAAATAAAGGCTAAACTTGTAAGTTCATGTTCTTTCATTCCTGAACATGTTAATTAAAATTTATAGGGATATGGGGGATTAATAACCAGTAAATACTACACAACAGAAAACAAACCTACTTTAACCCCCCCCCCCCCCCAAAAGGAAAACGTCTGATACATGTAACATTTTTGTTGGCGTGGCAAGAATCAAACTGAGATTGCTTCCTACGGAACTAAAGCTTGCAAAAGTTTCCGACTGCAAGTCTTTTATCAAACAGCCCTGTATGCTTTGTAAAGATAAAAAAAAAAATATGCTAGCTAGTACAAATTTTTTTGTAGAACTGATCAAAGTCCTCTCTGTTATTGCTAACTTTCTACAACGGAGTTGACTTTGTATCTATGTTTGCAATTCATTCCTGTACAAACACAACATTGCATGATAATTCATATTAGAGGGATTAATATTTGCTGCTTTTGACTATACCAAATTTTCTTCCATGTAATAAATTATATACTTTGATAGCAATAATTAATGATTACATCATAAAGCCTATCATATACACAAATATATTTTTCATATATATTAAAACATCAGTATACACATGGAGTATATTCTAACAAATAATTCATTTTCAAACATGATTTACGCCCGAGCAAAAGGGCTATGGAGAATTTGTTTCTAGATAACCCAGCAAAGAAGGAAACCGATTAACAAAAAGGATAAATTTAATTTCAATCAGCTTAAACTGTCATATATAAGTGTAATAAACCATCGAATGATTGACGAAAAAACACTGCTGCAAAGTCCATTTTACGACCTGATTGCGAACGACTACATTCAACATGAAAACTTGTCATTCATCAAGTTACAAAAATCAATCAAGGAATCGCCTATGGTCGTCTCCCACCTATCCTATTTTCCTCTGATAATGTGTGTATTTACATAAAATAAAACAAGAAATAAGGAGAGAAAAACAAAGTATTAATGGTTGTTGTTAATTAACCCAGAATTCATTCTCGAATGATGAACAATCATTCAAAATATCACATTAAGGAGGTATTTAAAAAATAATCAATCATCCTTGTTAATTCTACGATTAGCCTCCCAAACCATTCATGTACTTTATGATGAAATGATATTGTCCATGTGTACTGTACTGGTTTCCGATTCGAATTATACATTTCTTTCCTTTTCCGCATTTTCGCTTTATTTTATTCGTCCCACTCACTATTTGAAAGATCATTTATTTAATTGTTAATTGTTCTCATACATATACTAGGAATCTAAAGAAAACGTCCACATTTATATATTATACAAATTACAAATATAGCCATTTTATGAGGTCTATACATACAATGTAGATATATAGACTTCACAGAAAAGCATATCGACTGAGCAAGAAGTGCGTAGTCGATAAGCTTTTCTGTGAAGTCGATATACCTATGGATTGACCGACTATATTTGCTATATTATTTTCTTTAGAAAGGAAACAGACAAACAAATTTTGTTTTTGAAGACTTTTCACCATTATAAACACATCTTAAGATTTTCCCTAAGTTATTTTTAGTAACTCAGGTCAATTTCGTAAAATATAATTTTGCACGTGATAGCAAGCAAACCAATCAGATTTATTCAATTACAGAGTGAAAATTATATATATATATATATATATATATATATATATATATATATATATATATATATATATATATATATATACACGGGAGGAAGTATACATTAAGCAAAATTATTTTATTATTTCTTCCATACAAAGGATAATTTCTTTGCAAAGAACAAAATCTAAAAAGGTAATTTCTCTCTAAATTTCATAAAGTTTTTTTTTTCGCAAAAAATTACGGTAGCCCCCCCCCCCCCCCCCCAAACAAACAAACAAACCCATCCACCCAAAACATATTACACGGAATTAATCACGATTCATTCTGCATTCAATTTTAAGTTCTACTCTGGAGACACCTTGCGATAATGTTTAGCATCTGATTTCTTCCTTGCGGCTGTCTATCACAAGCTCTCTCTGAAGTCGAGGGGAATCTTGTGATTCCCCTATCAAAACTAGTGATCACAACCGCCTCTGACTACACGGCAAGACAAGGCGTTAATAGAAGGTTAATTGAATTCCTCCGACAGTCACACGCAAAATCACCGACTAATAGGAAGTATTTCATTACGATATATCAACGGCTTTTCTTTAATAATTGCTCAAATTTGTCTTTGCTTTAATGAAGCCTTGTTCACGTTGCATGCCGTTTGGTAATTGTCTCCAGAAGTGTTTCTTTCATTCATTAGGGCGAAGATCAGGTGCGCCCATACGTGGCATGAATCGACCAATGAGGGTGAATTAGTATAGCACTATTTGTCAATGCGGACGGTTTGTATTCGTTGCAGATCGCCGGATGGACGTGATGCTGGTAATTCATTCCAACAGGAAGCCTTTGATGCTTTGGTTTCTTTACATGAATTCTATTTCATCTTCCAGCTGTGTTTTTATATTCTTGTCACAGGTCACTGATTAATTAGGATATGTTTAAAAAAAACAAAATTTCAGTCACCTTTATTTATATACATACTCATTAGGGTTAGAGAGTTTAAATCTTTTTTAATGCGGTTCAACTATCTTTTAGACAATGAAAGTCAGGAATGTGGCTTGCAACTAATTTTCAAAGACCTGTTTCCTAGTTCATGACTTTGTCAGCCGTTATAATAAAACAACATGTATATCCTTCGTACAGCTCATTAGTCTAGAGACAAGCATCCGATCGTGTACCATGACTCCATTGTTTGTTGGAGTAATTCATTGTATTCTGATGTTTATTCTGTTGTACTGTTACGTAAGAAGTGATGCAGATTTCGAAAAATCAGGAAATATAGTTCTAAAAAAAAAACAATACACAAGTGCATTCTGACAAATATCTCTAGGAGCGGATCCATACGACTTCCGGGAAGAAAGGGTGCAAATTATATTAACATGCCAAAATGAAAATAATGTACTCGTATCGTATATATTTTTTGTGGAATATGAATTTTCACAACATAAGAATTTGTTTAAAATACAATACTTTCTACAAAAAAACTTACGAATTTAATTCTGATAATTTTTTTTTTCATTTACATGAAATTGTAAACGATTTTTATCTTTTTAAAAGGAATGTAGAAAGATATTTTTACCCCAGAAATTTTAAACAAAATCATTAATTTTGCAAAATTTTACAATTTGCTAAGGTTTTTGGTCTTAGTGGTAAGTTCTTTCGTAAAACAGGCCCCAGCTCTTTATTAACAAGGTGCATAGATCAAAAACTCATTCTTTTTTTAATTAAATTCAAGACATATACTCCTTGGATTGAATTTGGCCATGCGAGGATCAAAAACTTTTAATTTTCAGAAACAATAATGTAGACAACACTACAAAATGTCAAACTAGTATCCATTCTAGAGATACGGAGAGGGCCATATGAATAGAATGGAGTCATTTATGCTTAACAAACAAATTGAAATTCAGGAGGAAGAATTAATGATGTATCATGTAACTATTGACATCATTTTGCATAAGATAAAAAAGATGAAAAAGTTATATTGATTTTCGTATATAATACTAAAAAGGTAAAAATAGGTACAATTTAGTACATGAACTTAACATTCTTGAAATTTACTTAGATCAACAGAAATAGAAATTATTTGAAATTGCAAACAGCCTTTACAGTTCTGAACTCTGCGGACAAACGTCTTCCTGTAATGTGTAGAATTCATAGAACCCATCGTATGTCTTGTACTTTTCCTGAAAATGCAAGCTGTAAAAAGGAGGTAGTTTACTTCACAAAAGTAGTTTCAGAAGACTTAGGACAAAGCAGGCGACAAAGCTTGGTGTGACGATGGAACTTGAAGATTGGAAACCGGCTGAAAAATATTAGAAAATGCAATAACATAACATGAACATCACAGCGAGTAATCGGACACTTGTTTTTATGAATATTATATAGTTACGTCAGAGACTAATTTGTGGGGTTAAAACTGTGATTTTTTTTTATCATTTATTTTAATAAATATAAAGTTACATGTTATATAATAAAAAAAAATGTGAGGAATTTTCGTGTGAGAAATCGATTTATCACCTTGTTTTCCAGGAAGACTGAATATTTAAGAAATGTTATTCTTTTATTATCCTTTTTTTATCCTTTCCCTAAAAATCTTACGTTTTATATTTAAATTTTAGGTCATTTTTATGAATGCATTCTTTCAGAGAGAAAAACATAACAATTATGTTATTTCTTCAAAGAATTTTTGATATTTTTTTTTAAAAGGAACCTTAGGGTAAATGTTTTCTTAAGATTAAAACTGGTCATAAGATAAAACAAGATGTGTTTGTGAAACACTGATGCCCCCGTATGGCAGCTTATGGCGAAGGTTAAAGTTTCTCAAATGCAAGTCAAAATCCAGGCCAAAAGATAAAAAATTTTAAATTTGAAAGCCCTAGCTGCAACTGTTCAAAAGTTATGGCGAAAGTTAAAGTTTTTTAAAAGTAAGTAAAACATCAAGGTCAAGGTCAAAGTTGTTGGTATCCAAAGGAAGGTCTTGTCACAAGGATTACATATGTGAAGTATGAAGGCCCTAGCACCAACCATTCAAAAGTTATGGCCAAGGTTAAAGTTTTTCGAAAGTAGGTCAAACTCCTATGTCAAGGTCAAAGGGTCAAAGTGGTTGGTATTCAAAGGAAGGTGGTGTCACAAGGATTACATATGTGAAGTATGAAAGCCCTAGCACCAACCATTCAAAAGTTATGGCCAAGGTTAAAGTTTTTCAAAAGTAGGTCAAACTCCTAGGTCAAGGTCAAAAGGTCAAAGTGGTTGGTATCCAAAGGAAGGTCTTGTCACAAGGATTATATATGTACGGTATAATAGCCCTAGCCCTAACCGTTCAAAAGTTATGGCCAAGGTTAAAGTTTTTCAAAAGTAGGTCAAACTCCTAGGTCAAGATCAAAGAGGTTGTTATCCAGAGGAAGGTCTTATCACAAGGAATACACATGTGAAGTTTGAAACCCAAGCACCAACTGTTCAAAACTTATGGTCAAGGTTAACGTTTTTCAAAAGTGGGTCAAACTCCAAAGTCAAGGTCAAAAGGTCAAAGTTGTTGATATCCAAAGGAAGACCTTGTCACAAAAAATACACATGTGAAGTTTGAAACCCCAAGCACAAACTGTTCAGAAGTTATGGCCAAGGTTAAAGTCTCATAAAATTTTGCAAAAGTGGGTCAAACTCCAAGGTCAAGGTCAAAAGGTCAAATATGATGGCACCCAAAGAAAGGTCTTGTCACAAGGAATACACATGTGAAATATGAAAGTCATAGCTCCAACCAATCAAAAGTTATGGGCAAGGTTAAAGTTTACAACAGACAGACAAACAGACAAACGGACAGACTGGACAAAAACAGTATACCCCCGGGATCTTTCGATCCGGGGGCATAAAAAATTAATGTACGAACATTATAGGAATGATAGTCTCGATCATCCAGACACTTGTCCTTATAACACAAAGATAGAGATCGAAGCGTCTTGATGATCAAGACTATAGGAATGAGAGTACCAAATCCCTTGATATTCAAGTGGCTTTGTTTGTTATGGAAAGTAGCATAGAGTACTGAATAGTGTGTGTTACCCGATTGGCTGAATTCAGGTATGCAATTATTTTCATTTTAAAGTAAAAATATCAATGTTTGAAATAAATGATTGAATGTAGGAATATTACAGAAAATATAGAAATACCATGGGAAGATTGTTGGAGTGGGGTTGATATTTTTGGCAGAGTATCATTTACTGCCGATCGTTATATGTTGTAAACAACCGCAATTTAGACCTATAGACGCCATGGGACCCTATATTTTCTTTGGGCTTTTTTTTATAAGCGTTTGGAATAAAGTTTCAAATGATGCCAAGGATTTGTCTCAAATTGAATTTGTAGAGTATTGAGAGGGCAAAAGGTTTGTAAAGAGTTCTACGAGAAAATAATTAGTACTCTTTTCCCATTAGGGCAAAAGCGGAGCATCCCTCGCAAAAGAACACATTGATCCCGATGTAAATTATTACTTCCGTTATGGACGCACTCTCTCACTCGCTCCGCTCACACATTCACAAGCACATTACTATATCCCTTCTACCTTCATTTCCAGATGATAATAAGTTTCTTGACACCTTTTTGTAATATTATAAGTAAATAATTACTCATGAGTTTCTTTAAAGTTATTGTTGGCAATAACATTGCAATTGTTCTTCAGAAATATAAATTCTTAAAATTTTAAACAAAAGTACAAATTAATTTCTTTACATGTTTTTAATGAAAACTATATACAGAGAGATGGAGAGAGAGAGAGGAGAGAGAATACTACATATCCTTTTCCATATCACAGTCAAGGTTACGTTCTTCTTGAGTAATGCAAACCAAGGCAATTTATATTAATTCCTTGATTTGAAAATATTCCTTAGGTACACATAACCTTGTGCTAATACTGCTAAAATTAAAGATTATTTTCATAATAAAAAATTTTTTTTTTTTCTGAAGATGTTCAAAGTTTCAAATTTTTGGCTTTCTGTTCAGAGATTCACATTTTTGACTTTCTGTTCGGAGTTACAGTACGTATTTTTGAATTTCGAGAACTGCAGTGTACATCTTAAACAAACTGACTTTGTTTCGAGCCAAATTGCTTTAGGTGATACTGGTGTCTTTTGTTTCTTCCAAAATATCTCTTACCAATATTTTTAGAGAGAGAGAGGGAGAGAGAAATGGTAGGGGTTTTTTTCTAAAACATTTTGTTGTATAAGTGGACTTTCAGAGAAAGAAGAAACAATTTTACCCGTTTTCAAAAGAAACATCTTTCTAAATATTCTGAAAAGGGATTTTATACGAAGTCAGACGTTGACACACTCTAGAATCGCATAATTCAAAGAGTGGTTTTTGTATTGCAAAATTGGTCAATCTGCCTGTAGTATCAATTTTCACATGGGAATTGTTCAGCTCTTTAAAATAATTTGATCAATCATCTATGTGCTGCATCCGAAGCCTGATTGACATAGACATCCCTGGAGGAGACATCTACATACGTTTCGTCAATGTAGGACTTACGGCTATTTGAACCTGCTCCGAAACTTTATTGTAAATGCACTGTAGTTTGAATTCACTTTTTTGAATACATCATGAACGAAATGAAAATTAGCATTTATAATACCATTAAGTGTTCATCATTGGATTTAGAATTGCATAGAAATAATCACACTCTAAAACAATCTACTCAATGATACATAGAAATGTGCCTGATACCAGGTTATGCATACATAACTGATCAATAAAATGCGGTTCAGAAGCATCACATTTAACACATGATTTGTAGTATGCATCCCCGGATTCAAAAGTCTACAAAATTGGACTTCTTTTGTACTTTGGAATGATTAACTGCACAAATATCTATCTAATTATTCATTCTGAATACATATTGAGATTATGAATCAAGGATGACAACCCGCATCACTGGTGATATCTTTGATGCATTGATGCAAGTTTGATCAATATTAGTGAGATAGCTACTTGGAAATAATTCTGCTTGAAGACTTAAAGAAGACCCTGAGATCATGAAACAACTTCAAGTTTAAATCTCATTACATGAATTGCGCTGAAATGGTAAATAATGGTTTCTAATAAAAGCTTTTTTTAAACTGCATTACCGAAGAGCTTTTATGCAAAAATTTTGACTTGGCTGATAACTAATAAAGCATCTGACAGATAACTGAAATTTTGACTTGTATACCTAAGCCTGTTTTCATGATCGTGGGATCTGATCTCTTAATTTTAATCACTTAAACCATTCTTCTTGTTACTACTGTACAAAGAAGAATCTCCCTTTATAATCTTACATATGAAAACAAAATTTCTGGGCCAAAGATGGTATCTAAAATCAAAATTTTGCAACTGTCTAGCAGACATCTACTTATGAAGAATAAATCAAAACCGGAAAGAAAATTATTGTCAGTGTGCATGTTACTGAGCAATACATGTAGTTCAATTAACTTGAACTTTTACGCTTAAATTGTAACTCTTATATTAATCACTTTAACCTCAATCATATTTTATCAAATGTAACAAGAAGTCTGTGAGAGAATGCTCACTAGTAATACCCCAACTGTGATGTGAATATACACTCTCATGTTGTCATCGAATTCATACAAAAATAAATCCCACCATATGGCATGCCTTAAGAAAGACTGTGCTAAAATTTCGAGCATCTGCGCTGAGTAGTTGCTGAGAAAACTGTGACGGAAATTTGTTACGGACCGACGCACGAATAAACAGGAAGTTGACATCGGATTCAAACAAAAATGAATCCTACCATATGGCATGCCTAAACAAAGACTGTGCTAAAATTTCAAGCATCTGTGATGAGTAGTTGCTGAGAAAACTGCGACGAAAATTTGGTACGGACAGACACACGGACACATAGACACACAAACACAATACCACAGACAGACAGACAGCTAGACAGAAAGACACACAAGGGTAAAACAGTATACCCCCTCTCCTTCGGAGCGGGGTATAATTACAAAAATAGTTTAAAAGAAAATGTTAACGATGAAATGGCGCGAGTAAATTATTGTGTGACCTTTTTAGCACTAATAAAGTATCATATGTTGAGTACTAAAAATCTAAAATGATCTTTATAGTATATTTTCTTACAGGAAGTTTTTTTTTTATTAATTTCGTGCTGATCGATTAGATATGTCGTGTTATTTCAAAAAATAAAATAAAAAGGTTGGGTCAGTGATGTAAATTTTGAAATATTGGGCAAATTATGCACATTTCAGGCTAAAATCAATGTTAATTTTATCTTGCTTTACCAATATAGCTGCATATTTTGAAAACTGAGAAACTTTGTAAAAATTTGTTCTAAAAGTATCATTTGAAACCTAATTTGAAAATTCCAAATGTATGATAGCGTGAAAATTAATAGCAAAGTTCCAGCATTTTGAATTAAAAAAAATCTGTAGATGAACTGATTTCTATGCAAAAAATCCTTCCACCAAAAGAAATAGTCCCTCATGAAATTTATTTCTGGTCGATTGTGTGAGCGTTTTTTTTAAATTGAAAATTGACAATTTACATTGCTTATCCGATAGCTTATAAGAATTAAATTTGTAATTGATAATTTTGATATTTTAGGTTCTATCAAAACTTTTCTTAAAAGTTCACGAGTGACATACTTTAAAAACAATCAAGACTGGACAGAAGGGAAAATGTCTAGAGGCCATAAAAGGAATCTGCACAATGATTTAACTTTAACTAGGACCGATCATCGAGGACATATCATTTCTTATGGATATTGTAAGGGCAAGTCGATGGAACTGGGGGTAAGATGTACAATTTCTAAAACGAGGTAATTTATTGGCAAACAAGTTGATGAAACAAGAATATCAGCTGTCTCGTTTAAAGTCATCATTTCGTAAGTTCTATGGTCGATACAATGACCTTGTCAGCAAATACAATTAATCATTGAGTCAAATGCTGACTGACGTTTTTCATACTAATTGTTAGGCCATTATTTACACACTGAATTGTCGACGGATTTTTCCGTTATTTCCCGATCATGACAAGGAGCACACGGCAGGTGTGACCGTCGGCAGGGGATGCTCACTTCTCCATGGCACCTGATCCCACCTCTAATGTTTAGAGGTCCGTGTTTGCTCTGCTCCTATTTTGTATTGTTTAATGGACTTTTGAGCTTGAATCCTATTCGTTATCTCCATATATTTCATGAAACAAACTGTAATACAGTTGTACATACATAAAGTAAAAGTTGACGTACTCTGTGAAAATCAGAAAGAACCAGATTCAAATTCATAGCAAACGAACATTTGTATTTTTATTGCTTTTTCCTTTTTAAGATGAAATTGATTTTATTCGTTTTAAAACAAGGTCTGAGTTGCTTTTGTTTTTTTTTTTTTTTTTACTTACGAACAGGCTTCTGGCAAATGAAGTAGGCCTTAGCATCACATGGCAGATCATTGAATCTCCCTCCTTTATACATAGCAGCACAATTTTCATTGCCGCCTGCATTATTTGGTTCATTCGCCCAGTTTCTGAAAAAGTATGATATAAAGTGTTTACCTGAAAGAAAAAAAAAGGACAACACAATAAAGCCATTCCACGAGTAAATCATTTTTTTCAGCTTTCCCATCGTCAACTTTCCTTATTTATGTAGTAACACCGTGCTATCACCTGAATATGGTGTTTCACAACTCCCAACTTATTCGATACTCAATAGCATGCTCCGAGTACGATCAATTTTTAAACCACAGCAGGCTACTGACAGATAAGTTGATGTGACAGGGATTTCAACAACCCCGTTTAAAGTCAGCATTTTGTAAATTCTTTGGTCATTATAATGACCTTGTTAGCAAATATTACCCCCGTTACTTATCACTGGGTTGTATTTTGGCTGACATGTTTCATACCAATTGTTAGGCCTTTATTTTACCGATTTTGACTACTGAATGTGGCCTCTACCTGATCAATGCGTAGGGTGTGACCTGTCAACAGGGGATGCTTACTCCTCCTAGGCAGCTAATCTCACCTCTGGAATTTCCAGGAGTCTGCGTTTTATGCTTTCTTCAATGATTTGTATTGTTTATTGATTTTTTTAAGATCGATCACTATTCGTGATCTTTCCCCTATGAAGTGAGCAAAACATATTATATTATCTTTGTGTCTATATGTCAGATTCATAGATACGAGGGTTGTCCCAGAAAAACGCGAACTTTTTAAATATTTCATAAACTACCTTACCAAAATTAATCATTTTTGGCACAATGTTGGGAAATGATATTTTCCGTCTTTTTTTACCAAATACTGTGAAGTTGGAATGTCACATGCATCTAGAAACAGCATTTAAAGGATGTTAAATATCGTTGGTCGGCGCACGGCAATTTCTTGACTTTCAGAATTAACATTGCCATCTATATTTTTCTTTGTTACAAGGCTATACGGAATTATAATGTGACAAAAATTACATCCATAGAAACTGTCCGATCTAAAGTACTTGTGTGTAAAAGATTAATACTTTGAGATCATAAATAACAAAAATATGACGTTATATGACAAAACACTATTAGTTAGATATTGTTAAAAACAGCGACGTCGGGCGATACTGCGGCGCACCAAATTATCACTCATTACTGTGTGGAGCGGGGTATGTCTCCTGTTCATACGGGAAAAGAGCTGGGAACGAGGAAACGACACAAATTCATGTATCGAACACTGGTTTATACCTAGTAAAAGAGGTTCAAAGATGGATGGACTGGTTATCCGATGGAAGAAGCGTTTGGTAGACCAACAAAAATGACGACAAACTGAAAAGTCTAGAGCTGGACGTCATACGTGGAGACCGTCTTTAACTATGCGAGTAGTTAAGTTTAAGATCGGGGTTGGAAAATTGTCTATTAAAAGAATTAATTCCTTGATTTATTCTTAACTGTAGTTCGCGTGAAATTGGATATCTTGGTAATTTAAAAAATCAAATACAGTATCGAATTTCTGCTGCGAACGAATTTTTAAAAATGCACGATTCCTGAACAAATCCAAAAACTCCACGAGCTACGTTTTGACGTCATCGGTGTTGCGCCGGGAGCTACTTTGGATGAGTGATTTATCAGAGAGAAAAATGTTATTTATAGAGATATTTTATTGAAATTTCTGTGAATTATGTAAAAAAAATGTTAATTATAGTACATACCAATTTTTAACTTTATAATATTAGTGAAACGAAAAATATTGAAAAAGTTCGCGTTTATCTGGAACAACCCTCGTAATTAATTCAAAAACTTCTACATGAAAAAGAAGTCTCTTGCTGTGGTCTTCAATTCGACATTTAAATAAATCGACGACGCTTTATCAATCAAAATAATTCATTTTCATTCCTACGTTGATTCGATATAGTGTATCCCTTTGAAATCGAAATAAAAGACACCACAGGGACTAGCACATATGGATATTTTAATAGAAAAAAATATTAATGGCAACTTAACAACAAAACTTTATGATAAACGTCACGATTTCAATTTTCAATCGTCAACTTCCTTACTTATGTAGCAATGTACCCTTATCACCTGCATACGGGGTTTATGTCTCTCAGTTGATTCGATACGCAAGAGCATGCTCTACATATTAATAATTTTTTTTTAAAAAAGACAAGTTATTGAAAAATAAGTTGATGAAATAAGAATATAAACAGTCCCGTTTAAAGTCACATTTCTCGAATTCTATAGTCGATACAATGACCTTGTTAGCAAATATAATCTATCGTTAAGTCAAATGTTGATTAATTTTTTTCATACGAATTGTTAAGCCATTATTTTCACACTGAATTGTCTATGGAATTTGCCCGATGATGACAAGGAGCAAACGCCGGGTGTGACGGGTCGACAGGGGATGCTTACCCTCCATGGCACCTGATCATACCTCAGATGTTTTTAGAGTTCCATTTTTGCACTACTTCCAATTTGTATTATTCCAATGGACTTTGAGCTTTTTCGTCATATTTCATACAAAACGATCAACACTCAGGAATATCCACCCTATAACTTTTTTACCATAAAAAAGTTTATACTAAAGACGTGGGTTAATTTACGTTATGTACACGGTCACCAATTTTCCGCGGAAGTTTGTCAGAGGATACCTAAAGTGCATACAAGGTAGACAATGGCAATTTAAGGAATTTTCTACGCGAGAATTGAACAGAAATTGTGAATCCGTGAATTATGACCATGTGGAAAAAATGTACGTTTACAGTATTTGATATTTTTACATGCATTCTTTGACACAAGAGCTTTGTCAATCACCGGGGAGACTTTGTGACCTTTCACTTGATATGACTGTGATATTTATCATAAAAAAATTAAAGTATTTTGAAGAAAAAAAACATATCAGGATTCATGATCTTGTGACTTACATCTCAAACTTCCTTTCTGACATGTTTCTCTTCAATATGAAAATGATAAGATATGAAGATAATAATTATAAAACAGATCATGAAAAACTTTACTTTTTTAAGTAGATACGAGATTTCTGGGTTTCAGTGGCTTATACATCTAGCTCCTGCAGATCTCATGCATTTATTATGAAACACCTCAACTGCCTAATGTGAACAAATATATATCCTCATTACATAATGATACCAGTATTTTGACATTTAAATGTCGATAATTCTTCATATTAAAATGATGATAGTATGACATTAAGTGAACCTTTTTTGTCATTTTATGCCGAAACTTTTCATAATCTGTTAACACTTTGACATTATATGCTGATATTTTGTCTTTAAATGCTCATACTTCTTCATCATATGATGACAGTTTGTACTTTCTGATACTTCATCATCATATTATGAAAATTTGACATTATATGATGATACTTCAACAGTATATAAAGATACTTTATAGTCTGATGAATATACTCGCTTTTTCTAGAGAAATTTCGGGTATATTTTTGTTATCCTGTTCCGTCCGTCTGTCACACAATTTTCTTCCTTATACTACTCCTACATTTTAAGCAGTACACAACACATCTTTCAGAATATGATTGGTGTTGCCTTGTACATGTGCTGAAAGATCTTGAAATTTTCATTTCTAGCCTGGGGCCAAATGGGGGTCTAATAAAACATTTTCTACAATAAAGCTTCTTCCCTAACCTCCTCTTACATTTTTAGCGGAGTAAGGAGCTGATGCTTACGTCGTGGGTTCGAATCCCACTGTGGTACGTGTAAACCGGTCATTCGGATGAGACTATATAAACCGAGGTCCCGCGTCGTAGTAGGTGTTGGCACGAAAATGTTCCTCCACTGCTCAATGGCCCTGAATGCCGAGTATAGGTATGAATTTGCAGCCCTCCACCGGTAAGTTCTGGCGTCTCCAAACCAGTATAAAAATTCTCGAGAGGGACGTTAAACAACAAACAAAATATAAAAGAGGTCCGTAAGCAAAAATACTCATTTGAGCATTATATATATATATATATATATATATATATATATATATATATATATATATATATATATATATATATATATATATATATAGTAAATATATATATATATATATATATATATATATATATATATATATATATATATATATATATATATATATATATATATATATAATAGTAAGTTAAAGGACGTCACTGGAACCTCGAGTTTTGCTTCTTTATAACCGAGCTGAGATTCTTTATAGCCGTATAAAAACATAGTCAAAGGTCTTGTACAGGATACTTCAAGGTTCCTTATAACCGAGATTTCCTTATAAGCGAGTTTTTTTATAATCGAGTTTTACTGTATATATTTTGTGTAAAATAAAGAATTACTGTCACAGTGGCTTCTTCCCTGGTTATCTAAATATAAAGAAGAGCAAATTTAGAGGCAAGCACATAAGTGCATGTATTACTGTCTTATGACAGCGTTAATTATTTGTTACTTTCTGTTGAACTTGATATTTGAGTGATATATTTAAAGTCAAAAATTCCGGAAAGCAAGACAGGATATCGTTTCAACAAAAGTGAAAAGGTAACTAGAATTACGTATTGCTTATGAAAACTAGTACTGAAATGAGAAGAATGCCAAACTATTGTTTGTAACCTGTCTGTCCAAGAATTTAGTAGTGCATTACACATCAGTGCAATGCATTATTTTCTGTATACCAATTTTCTTAAATTAAAAATGAATTTAAAATGGACATGGAAATTATTTTTTAAGATTAAAAAATACAAAATAATAAAAATGAACTTTACAATTTAACTTAGTGCTAAACTTTTTTTTTGTATTCAAATACACTTTCACTTCTATAACATTCTCTCCAAATTATAACTACCACGAATTTAAATTTTCATACTTATTTTAGATAAGCTTTGTTCTCAAAGAATGATCAATGCAGTTTAGAAAGTAATTAAGAAAATTATTCCAATATGGGGTAAACTAATTAACGATACACTGTACACTGATAATTGCCACCTAATGAATAGAGTATCAACAAAACACACAATTAAAAAGTGCAATATATTGTTTTGAGAAGTCCTCAACATATATGTACTGATCCATTTCTCCTGGCCGTGTTTATGAAACGTTAATTGACCTGGTCTAGTGGAGCTGACAATGCCCAATCACTTGGACCAAAAAAGGGAATAGAAGTCAGGCATGCTACTTTTAATTATAGTAGAGCAAAATGTACCCTATGTTCAACTCTTTTCACTTGTCAATGTATTTAATTTTTTTTTCATAATTATAATTATATTATAAGGTGCTAAATCAAAATATCTATGTCTGATAAATAAAATTCAAACAGTTCAGGGAAGGGGCGGATAATTGAACAACCCCAAATGTTTGACCCAATAGTTACACAAAAGTGCATATTTACCTTTTTGGTAATTGAAATGTTTCTTGAAATTTGATAAATACTAGTAATGATATTCAAATTTGAATCAACATTCATTAAATTTAATATTTGAGGGTGGCGTGAGTCTTTATGAAAATAGTTGCACATATTTGCACATATTTCTATCTTGGAAAACAGTAAAAAGTAATGGTAATGATCATGCATTACTTTAAGTAATAGTAATGTAAAGCATTGCTTAAAAAATAGAGTAATGGTAATGGTATTTCAATGCCCAAATTCTGGAAGTAATGGTAATGTAATACAATGTAACAATGTAATCAGCCCTAAGCCTGTTTAACAAACTCATTTCTAATTTTCATTAGACAAAATTGGTACCATATATTATTTACATAATACCCAGGCTCTTTTTGAAATACCAACGGCTTCAAATTCTTGGGCAAGCAGCTCACAAACAATCTGGCTTTATTTTTTCTCTTTCAAAATGTTCAGATCGTTCACAGTAGCTCAGTCATTAGGTCGTGAGTTCGAATCTCGGCCGCGACTTACCTAAGTCGATAAAAAATGGGTAGCAACTGTTCCTTCGCCATGCGCTCGACATTTTGAAGTGAAAGTTGCGGGTCCTTCGGATGAGAACTTAAAAACCAAGGCCCCGAGTCACGACAGGCGTTGGCACAATAAAGATCCCTCAATGGCCCTGAGTGCCGAGTAAAGGTCAAAATAAGAAGCCCTTCACCGGTATATGGTGACGTCTCTATATTAGTGAAAAATTCTCGAATTGGACGTAAAACAACATACAATCAATCAATCAATCAAAATGTTCATAAATCTGTTGCAAACCCCCTTTTCTCCAGTACATGAAACAATTGAAATTAGGCCTTCCCTTTCTTTCCAGGAGTTTGTAATTTAAACTTTTCAACAAAATAAAATGTAATATTAAAAGTATAATGAATTAATGAAAAAGTGTCAGTATATAAAGAACAAAGTATCAGCATAAATGGAAAAGAATCAGCATATAATGGGGAGGAATCAGCATAAAATGTTGAAGTATCAGCATATAATAGAAAATTATCAACTTATAATGGAAAAGTATCAGCATATAATGAGGAAATAGCAACAGAATTAACATTATCCACATACGGCAAGTGAGCAGCTTTCAACATTGGAGCATAAGTTTACGAATTTGACAATTCGTTATATCGAATTCAGAAATATATTTTAATAGGTCCTAAATGGGCTTCTGTATGAGTTGCATCAAACTTTTTTTTTTACTTAAACTCACAAAAGGGAGGGATCTGGAAGGGCGGTTGCTCCATTAAACATCCACACTCCTTCCGCCTGTTGATCGTTTAAGCCAGTCCACCAACCGCCCCCGGAATTCTTAATCTGCAATGTCACCTGTGACTGCACGAAAGTCTACATAAAACAAATGTAAATCGTACAAGTATATTAAAGTAGATGATGTCTCATGGGTATAGTATAAGAAAAACTGATATGTGAGGACTTTTTATGATTTAGTTCTTAATTCTTAATTTTTCATGTAAGGAAAATAAATCACTTTTTCGCCCTGTGAATCAATGGACAGGTAATTTGCTGTAACTCCTGCGTCAGACGCCAGATCGTTACATCTTTGGTAAACATCTTTCCATCGGAGTTTATCGGAGGAAGACGCGTTACTAAAGAAGTAACATGAGTTTCCGTTTCCGACCCAATTGGTTAGACACGTCTGAGACCCTTTGTAAATAAAATTCATTCTTCAGCATCTTAAAATAGTAATGGAATCATTCATTCTCATGGCATCTAAAAACCTCAAAAATAACAAAATATAATCTAACTTTGAAAAGCTGATTGTGTGACCTTTACTATAAGATATCTATCATGATAAAGGTAAATTGAGTCCATGCGTCCATTTTTAATTTGATTTGATGACTTTTAGCGTAAGGAAGGAAAATGTTACATAAGTATTCCTTTGAAAGAAAATGATGGCGAAGCCTCATGCTCTGATGCATTTACTCTTCCTAAATTTTTATGTAAGAATAAAAAAAAACTCACAAAACAGTCAACAACTCCAAACACTGAAGAACAAATGATTTCTACCTACTCAACAGGTAATACAAAATTAACTATCCCAAGAATCAAAACCTATTATTCTGCGTGGCTCATAAGTGACAATTTTTTCCTTGCATAGAGAAAACGTGCATTTATACACCACACCATGTGACCGTGTATTAAATTCTATCATTTTAGAGATCGAAGTAAAGTTTTTGGTACATATGTCATTGAAAATATTACAGAAAGCTTAGGCTTCCAATCTAATAAAGTGATCCATCGCGTGCCGTTGTTGGACTCCACTGTGATTAACATTAAATATAACCTTGATCACACAATCAATAAAAAACAGTAACTTTACCTGGTGGTTTGGGGTATTCGCAGATATATCCCAGGTGAGCTTGACAGTCTAAATCATTCAGGACCCCGTCTCCAAACATCTGGCCACAGTCCTCATTGGAAGCATAATTATTTGGTTCATGTCTCCAATTCCTTCACCAAGAATAGAAAAAAATATCTTGGGCAATCAAGTAGATCAATTAATTTTGCTATCTCAATATAAATGGAATAAAACATGATAAATGTTAATGGATACTTTATAATGCCTTGGAAGGAGAAGAGTTTGGTAAATATAAGTCTTACAAGTGTTTTTTTTCCGTAAAAATATTAAATAAGTTGTTAAACCTGCTTTTGACTTGCGCCACGTGGTCTTAAATTACTACCTGTGTTACTCGAAAAAAAATTGAGTTGGAATAATTGATACAAGTATTAAATGAGATCTAGATGTCATCTTTGAGAAAATATTTTGCACTAACTTAACCTTAATTTTTAATTAGATAAAAAAAATTCACAAAATCATTGATTTCATATTGATAAATTTTTAAATATTAGTTGAGGAATACTTAACAGTCTTCTTAAAAGCTATTTAAAGTAAGATAATTTATCAAAAAGTTTCAAAATGCTCTCCAATCCTGATTGGTTTCGAATTTCTGTGCATGAATCAAAATATTCTCCCACGTTGAATTCAAAAGAAATAATAATTATATCCATAGATTTTTTTTTTCAATTCTATGAATTTATTTGATAATCTGCAAACATATTAAAAAGATTCTAAATAACAAGTTTGGTGGATAAACTTGGAGTGGCATGAGATATGAGTGCAACCGAGAGCTTGTTTTTATGAATATTGAACATTACAGTATTTCGACCGGTACTTAAACCAAATCCGTCTAATTTCGGAAGTTGGTTGAACCACAAATACAATATGGTATTCAAACTCAAAGTGCATTTAGACAATACAAATCGGGAGCAGAGCAAACACAGACCTGTGAAAACATCAGAGGTGGGATCATGTGCCATGTAGGAGTGAGCATCCCCTGCCGACCCCTCACACACGCCGCGTGCTCAATCAATAAAAACAATCATACCCATTTAAAGTTATGGTCACAAAATGCAAGATAACGTATGTTTTATACGAGTTACAGGTGATATGATCATTACAAGAGCTAAAAATCACACGAAATTTAGAAATTGATCGATGTGTGCTTGAGATTGACCAATTACGAAGATGGCTTTACAATTAAGGTAAAGTATTAAAATGACGTGCTATCAGTAGCACCGAAACACTATCACCTAATTAGTTGTGATATGTATAACTGGATTATATTTTTTTTAAAGACTGAATCGATGTGTGCAAGATGACTCTCGATTCGTGATTATTCTGTTATAAACATCAAATTACACGTAATCCATTACCAACTAAGATCACCTGTTCTACTTGTTATCTTTTACCCTCAACTTAACCTTAAATGTACTGCGATAACCCTCAACTACATGTACCGAGAAAATCATCAACTTCATGTACTGAGATTTAACCTTCGACTTAAGGACATACGAAACGTACCTTACCTACTGATATTTTTTCAAGATATTCTTGATTTAAGATTGAAATGCCATCAGATGTTGTTAGGCAAAATATCAGCATGTATTACCAGGGGTTTTGAAAAGATATCAATTGATGAAAATCCTTGTATAATTCAAAGAAATATATATAAAAATTACTCAGTATATATTCTAGATGTTTTGTTTATCCAAACTTGTTTTAGAAGACATGTACAATAGCATATATAGACATTAAAATGTAGCACACAGTTCCTTCAAGTATTGGAAAAAGACAATAAAGTTCAAACTACGTTGCGTATGTCCTTAAAGGTAATTGTCACTTTATTTTGTATTTCTTCACACGCATGCTTTGATCGCTCTTAACTTACACATACGCCCGTCGGATGGGACGTTAAATGCTGCAGCGTGTCAACCCCTTAGCACGTGAACAATCGTTTCTCTGGTGCAAAAAAGAGAAACCCAAAAACTTTCAAAAGAGTGAATTTAAAAAAATGACAAAATGCATGTTTTTTAGCCTACACTAAAAGTACAGGCAATTGGAATAAATTTCTATGTCTCAGAATATGCCTTTAGATAGTGTCTAAATACCTGCCAAATATCTCATTGATATATCAATTCAAAAAAAAAGTTATGCCCAAAAATGATGCTTAAAATGTCAGGACTGCAACACCTTTTTGTGACATTTTAAAAATTCAATATTTTTTAAGATCTGTGAAATAAATGATTATGGTTTATGGTGGAAATAAAGACTTCCCTGATAATATTCAAAGTATTGAGCTTCAAATGTAGACTGTAGCAACTTTTGTTTGACCAAGTTGTGGCCATGGCTGATGTTGAAAAAAAAAATGTTATACCATGTCAGGAGTGCAACAGAAAAAATAAAGTGTTGCCAAAAAAACATCGATTTTAAAAATCCGAAGGACAATTAAGTCAAAAAAGAATTTTCAAAGTGTAAAACAATACCTGATATACAATTTAAAACTTCAAAATGTTATATAAATCATAAGCAGCATTAATTAAAGTCAAGTATCTGTGCATACCCAATAATGTCAAGAGTGCAATATCTGATGTTTTGCTCCCCAACATGAAAAAATTTTAATCAGTATATGATTCTCTGATTTTTATTTTGGAAGATACAGATACAAAGAACATATTTACCAAATATATTTATCAATTACAGGGTATGCCTGTGTTTCAGAGCTATATTTCTATTGTCAGGAGTGCAACACATTTTTTTTAAAGATTCAAGTTATATGATGAAAAGACTTCTACTCATGCTATAAAGAAATATCGTTAATTAATTACGTTCTATTTGTATAATTTAGTACTAAATTATTGACAGTTTTTTTTTTAATTAAAATCCTTCTCTTTTTTTTCAATTTCATCAATTCAGATGTGTTTTTATTATTTCTTTGATTTTTTAAAGAATGTAAAAAATAAACACACTGAAAATTTTTTATAAAGTTCAAGTAATTCCACCTCAACCTCACTGAAACAACAGAACATAAGTTCTGATATAGTTTTCACTTCACAATTCCACTTTAAAGAATCCCATGCTCTTGGTCAGGAGTGCAACAAATGTGATAGAATTATTGCTGATCAAATATGAATAAATATAAAGAAAAAATTGATGAGTAGAATGTTTCTGATTGACGTCAGTTGCTTACAGTGTTTGTCCTGTGAAGGAAAATATACTATAAAATATATTGTATCCTTAAATATATGTTTTAGCTAGTTTTTTTTTTTTTTTTTTTTTTTTTTTTTTTTTTTTTTTTTTTTTTTTTTTTACATAAATAGGGTATAATTCAAGATATAAAGTCAAGTTTAAATACTTTCATGTGTTTTAATTATGAATTATTGGACTATAAATATTGCACAATTTCGTTACCACTTGATGTTGTCAACACTTTATAAATTTTTGTGTTCTGTGGTTTTAATTTTGAATTTTAATGCAGTCAGGAGTGCAACAAAACTGTTTTATAATTATCAATGATCTTCATCTATCTTTACTAAAAATAAATTGAGAGAAATGTTTGATACTATTTGATGTTCAAAACTTTATGTCTTTCAACTAATTACAGATATTTTACAGTCAATTCAGAGAATAGTTTTCTTAACTTAACAAATATTTTTAAATACAATGTATTACACATTGCAAATACTCATGTTTTGAAGTCTTGTAAGTATATAAAAACGTGCCGTAAATGATAAAAAATATCAAAACGATGAATTGATTTACAAACTAAGAATGGGTTATTGTGTGTTATAATTTTTAAAACAATGTTAAATAAAATCGGATATCAGATGTCAAGAGTGCAACACAATAATGTAACATAGGGTCACTTCGAAATCTAGTATTTTTTGTAAGAAAACTTTTATGTCAAAATTTTCTTTTGGCATAAATTAAGAGAACTAACCTAAATGGACAAAAAAATGATTTGGGTAGAATTTTATTGTTTCATATTTCTTTCATATTATAACTTTTCAAACCAGAATTGAAAAAATAATGTAAAATTACAATCAAAAAGCCAAATATTTTCCACATATACAAGAACAGAAACTCAATCAAGGTTGAGATCTGATCATTTATATCCCTGATACCATTTTGAAGCATAAAAACTATAATTTCTTTTGATTATGTATTTTAGAAAGTCTTTTAGGATATAGTGATATTTTCTTTTTTTCAAATAAAGTTTTACTAATCAAAATTCTGAAACTTTTTCTTATCCAATTGTCTATTCTATTGCAACTTCGGGAATTTCAACTAGAATTCATTTACAATATGATGATATAAGTGAAAAATATGTTATGGGTAGTTGATTTTTTCAAAAAATTTCAATTTGGTGGTATTTTTTATTCACCCAATACCGGCCAAGGAACGTAAATTTTTATCGCCGAAATGTGGCTGCAATATGCCAACTCGGCGTTAAACAATTTTACCTTACACGTAATCCTTAACATACTGACATTATTATCAACTTACACGTAACTCGCATTACACGTAGATCCGTCCTGCCACAGCCATGTCCCCTCGTGTCCAGCATCCCTCAGACCTGTCCAGTAGCCCCGCCACCCAGGCATCTCAATTACTTTTAACCACGCCTATAAAGAAAGGAGAAATATGTCTTAATAAGTGCGACTTGGTTTTATTTTTCCAAAGCCTTCACATTTTTCACTTAAGGGTATATCGATATCATGTTATTTAACTCGTTTTCGCCCAAAAATAAAATCATTAGACTGATCATAGATATATTTCATCCACACAAAAAAATACTAAGATGATAGTCTGCCTGTAACGGAGTTTAACATATTTAAACTAAGATTCATCCTTTAGCAGGTTATTGTGGGCTTATTTTTTAAGAGGAGGGGAATGTTACACATATATTTTTGTCTCCCGCTTTCACTGAAAGTGGGAGATATTAATTTGGGTCTGTTTGTCCGTCCGTGTGTCTGTATCTCTGTGTATACTTTTATTTCCGGACGATATCTCAAGAAGCTTTGGCAATGAAATATTATATCACAACTTCCTATGCCCTAAAGACCCCTATTGATTTTGAGTCAAAAGGTCAAAGGTCAAGGTCATAAATTCATACATTCTGTCTGTGTGTAACACGTTCGTTTCCGGACGATATCTCAAGAAGCCTTTGCGCTTTTGCGATGAAATTTTATACACAACTCCCTATGGCCTAAAGAGACCCCTATTGGTTTTTAGATCAAAAATTCGTAATTCAAGATCATAAATTCATACGTTCTGTTTGTGTGATACACTTTGTTTCCGTGCAATATCTTTAAATGTCTCTGAGCTTTGGCAGTGATTTTTTTTTCACAACTCCTTATAGCCTCAGGAAGATCCCTATTGATTTTAAGGTCAAAAGGTCAAAGGTCAAGGTCAAAAATCATACATTACTAATAACATTTTCCTAAGGATAAATTTTAGTTTTCTTTGAGCTTTCTTCGATAAAATTTAATATCACAACTCAGATGGTCTAAAGAAGACCCCTATTGATCTTGAAGTCAAGGTCGTAAACTCATAAATTCTGTCTTTGTTTACTTTTTCCAAACTATATTTTAAAAATACTTTGAGATCTTGCAATATTGTATATTACAACTCCCCATGGCTCAAAAAAAAAAAAACAAAGGTTCAAAAGGTCAAAGTCAGAAATATATATATAGTATAGCATGTTTTAAGATAATAATTTTAGTTTTTCTGTACGCTTTTGCAATGAATCTTCTGGTCATGAATTTCTTTAACTTAAAAAGACTCCTATTGACTTTAATGCCAAAAGTCGAAAGGTCAAGGTCGGCCTTTTTCTTTTTCCATCTGCAAAATTTTTCCGGTTCTTCCACCCCTCTTCTTTTTTCCGAAAGCGGGGGACACAAATTCTCTGAATTAGCTTGTTAATGTTTACCTCTGTTTTCATATATACTAATTTACAGTGCACAGGAAGGAAACTCACGTATTGGTTTTTGTCATCGACTTTCACTAGATCTGCGCCTGCCTTTTGGCATTTCGCTCGTGCGTCACTCCAAGAATATCCCTGTCCGTTTCCAAAGAGATAGCACCTGCCCTCTGCCCTTTTCCAAGGTCCGCATCCAACATCTATGTAATCTAAGTATTGGCAAAAAAAATTCTTTTTGAAAACAATTATAACAAGCGTTATGTTCGATTAAAAAAGTTGACATCAATACTGTACATAACTCAACTAGATTGAGCCATTTTCTATGTAAAGAAAATGATTTTCATTTGAAATTAAACTTTTTCAGGATGATAATGATCCAATTTGTGATGATGATTAAAATTTTATATGAATATTCCAAGAATCATAATTGAAAACACTTTTGGTGACTTTCATCGAAAAAATAATCATGTATGCTATTCATTAGAATTTTTATGTACAAAACTATTTACTTTTCAAAGAGTTTGCTTCACAGACGTAGAAAGCTCTTGTGGCACATGTGACGTCATCAACAGATCCCCCAGATCTCATAATTGCGCAATTTTGACGTTCTGAGGCGTCTGAGCTTGGGGCCTTATCCCAGGTTCTAAAGATATAAAATTGACATTTGTCATTTTAAATTCATGTAGGAGAAGTTCAGAAATGATTTTACACCCGCTAGTATTACGCTTTCATTAAACCCAAAATATTAATAAGGCCAAAGTTTTTTTTTCAATTGGTTTACGATTCCGCCGACCCTAATTTTCACCAATCATGAAAATAAAAATAATGTCTTTTTCCGAAATATTTTTCCGGATTTTTCTCAGCTAAACTGGTGGGTTTTAAATTTAAGAATGCATCTTAGTCAAATAAGCGCTTATAAATATATGAGCCCTTTACAAACATTTAGGTGACCGTAAATAAACACATGTGCAAACCAAAAATGGCGGTTCTGTCATGTAACAAGGCAATTCCTCACTGAAAGCAATGACACACACTTAAAGAACTTTTTTCTGCATGGAAAAGTGAATAAAATCTTGGATGCATGATCCCTTTCTCTAATTGCGATGTCTCAATTGGCTAAATTCATACCGTAATATTGGAGAGTTTATGCCCAACCCTGATCGACCTAGCAGACACGGATACACCTATAGATAAAAGGGATTTATCAGTGCCTTCTCATGGACCGAAATTCGTCTTCATTCCCAATTGAAAATGAGTTCAGTTTTTCCAATTTGGCAGTATTTTTCCCAATTGGTGAACAATGCTTTTATTTTTAATTATCTTTGGAAAAAAGTAAAATTGTCAGATTGTCTGTAATTTTCATCTATTTAACTCATTTAGCAAAGCTACAGTCATAACACATGTTTAAAAACACTGAAAAGACATCGCCAACTTTTAATCCGAATTTCCTCCGTTTTTCTAAAAATGATGATATTGTGTAATTATATAGATTTATTAAGCTATTTCCACCTACTCTATTGATCTGCAAGTGAAGAGGACTTTTAGAAAATGTGTACTTAGTAATTTTTGCAGGAGGTTTATAATCTCCAGAAACAGATACTATAATGACCTAAATTGAAATCTCATACACACATGTACATGTACTACCCTAAGTTGTAAAAATACTTTATACTCATTGAAGTCCATTTTACCTTTATTAGTCTATTATTCATAATTGATCTTGTATCATTGTATGATGAAGATGGATCATATTTAATTGTCGTTTGGTTGCCCAAATTAGAGTTCATGCTGAAATGTTAAATGAATTACCCCTGAATACATGATTTAAGCAACATTTTAAAAAATTTTCCAATTTCATCAAATAGCCGATAATTTTTTCCCAATTCCCTAAAAATGGTGTTTCCCAAAATCATAGGCTGATAAATCCATGGATAATAGTGAAGCCAATTTAGTGTTGAGAGATACATCTTAGTTGAAGTAAAGCTGACTGGTATTTCACTGGATAAATTCAAATGTGTATAAAACATTTTGTTAATTTATAGAAGTAATTTTAATATACAAATCTTTGCAAATTTGATACTCAATTGAGATCAGAGCCCTCTGAATTACTATAAAGTAAATAATGAGCATTGCCTACTGTGCAGGTACATAACAAAATTTAAAGAAGGACTTGATTGAGAAATTATTGGAACATTAAATTTGATAGCTGCATGATCAAATTATTATAACTTTTATTTCAACGTTAATTACTTTCAATATTGTTAAACAATTAAATTGTATTTTTCTTCAATCTAAATTTAACTTAAATTTGGATCCTTATTTTTAGTTTGTGGGGATACTGAGGTTTATAACACATCACATATCACTGAAGAGCACAAAAAGAAGTTGAACATCATGAACCAAGCACTGATTGATAAACAAAAATCAGAACTAAATGAAAATGACATTCAGTCTAAAGTTAGAAATGAATTAAAATTAAATAAAAAGAGTTATGTGATCTAGACAATAGAACTTAAAAGTACTATTGACATGTATTATTTTCATTGAAATAAACATTGCTGGTATTTAAAATGAAATTGTTGAATCCTAAATTATTTTTATTTTTATTTTTCGACCACCCAATGCATTTTTTGGAGACAGAAAATCGTAAACCAAAAAAAATAAAAACTTTGGCCTAATATAGGATATTTATACCTCGTTACCCTCAATTTGGGTACATTTATTTTAAAGCTTTAGGCTTTTAATGAATTATGATAAGTAGACATACAGTTGTACCATGTTTTTTTTTCTATGACTGGGATGTACTAAAATAACCGCTTATTTTATAAAATCTACTAATTAACTTTGTATCCATTAAAGACGCACATATTTTTCATTCATAAACCACTAATGATACAATCGTCCATTAATGATACAAACGTCTACTAGGCCTAAAGATACATATTATATCACTGTGGATAGAGATGCGATTACTAATTTCATGGAACTCTTTTAGATAATTCGTTTTGATAAAGAAACTTATACAAATATGATAAATAAGGGATGCAACATATTACACTTTGAATGAATGAGTTTCATGAAGGATTGTTACCATACAGAAGTGATATATATACATAAATATCAAAAATTAAATTTTCAAATGGAATTCGATCTTCTGAGTTAAATAAACAAAGTAAAAGTCATATATGATCTTTTTAACATATGTGAAGACGTATTTTTCAAGTGCCTGATTTTACTACCATTTATTTGCTTCCAAACTTACACAATAGATCAAAGCAGCAAAAGAACTTGCACAATAGATCAAAGCAGATGAAGAACTTACACAATAGATCACAGCAGATGAAGAACTTACACAATAGATCACAGCAGATGAAGAACTTACATAATAGATCAAAGATGGCAAAGAACTTACGCAGTAGATCAAAGCAGCCAAAGAACTCACAAAATTGATCAAAGTAGATGAAGAACTTACACAACAGATCAAAGCAGACGAAGAAATTGCACAATAGATCAAAGCAGCCAATGAACTTATACAATAGATCAAAGCAGCCAATGAACTTATACAATAGATCAAAGCAGCCAATGAACTAATACAATAGATCAAAGCAGCCAATGAACTTATACAATAGATCAAAGCAGCCAAAGAACTCACACAATAGCTAGATCAAAGCAGATAAAAAACTTACACAATAGAAGTATTATAGGTAGACCCATCCTGCCAGACATATGCCCCTTCTTTCTGCTGGTCATTCAGGCCTGTCCACCACGGGATTTGTACGTTTGGATTTTGTGTGGACAACACAAATTGAAGGGAGGCCTAGATACGAAATACAAGAAGACGAAACAATTAGAATGTCAAGTGAGACTAACTTTCATTTGTGAAAAGGTTTATTCAGTAAGTAATTTGATATATACTAACACTTACAGGATAATCTTATTACATTAAGTTATTACATTATTATATCTTATTATACTTTCATGTTAAATACTAAAATCTGATTGGTTTAGACGCATTTAACAATCCGTAATGTTACCCTCAGCGTTAGCAACACACTAGACAACGGGTAACATTACGAAAATATTACATGCGTTCAAATCATGCGCGTACGGTTCACCGTAGAATTCTCAAAGCGTCGGTTGTGCGTTTGAAAGAAGCCGAATAAACGACGTCAATAAAGCTTGCGTCCGATGTAGCTTACTTGAAAACAACAAACGACAGACGAAACATCCCTGCGAGTGCAAACTTTAGATGACAAAGGACTTTTTGATAGCAAACAAACAATAAAGAGGTTGGTTAATCTTTTCCGAAGCTTTCTTATTGAGAAAAGTAGAAGCGGGGAGTTTGAAAGCTTTCTAAGCGTGAACTTAACGACGATCTCCGAATTTTTTTATGACACCCGAAATCAATAAGACATTCAGTATAATAAAATAAATAGTGCACGTTTTTGAGGGTAACAGTTGAAATTGACACCCCTCGGAAAACCATTGTCAACCTCCGCTGACGCGTCGGTTGACAATGGTTTTCCTTGGGGTGTCAATTTCAACTGTTACCCTCAAAAACGTGCACTATTTATATAATACTAAACGGTTTATATCAAAATATAAAACTAATAGCCTCTTTGGCCACAAAGCTTAAATAAGTCATACGATTATATGTGTGTGCACTGACATTCTTAGGCTTTCCAAAAAGGCACCAAATGAAGTCAAAGGACATATATATATATATATATAAACGTTAAGTGTTTGTTGTATAAATGTATTATTTGAAACAAAAAAATATTCTTATTTTCTGCTCGAATTACCAGTACTTTATAAACCTATTGACCCTTTAGTAAATCAGACTATATAAGTATGCTTGCTTATTTTTTTCTTTTTTTCAACCAGGTCTTCCAAGATTTTTTTTTTATTATTATATTTGATACGTAACTCAGTTTGAACAACAACTACATAGTTTCTTTTTTCCGAGGATTTGATTGAAACACAATTATTCTTCGATACATGGGAATCCTTGCATAACAATAAGCCATGCATTTAAATCATAAAAAGTTTTTTTAAGAATTTTTACTTTATATTCTTATACATGTACGTCTTGGAAACACCATTGTTGCCCTACAAAAACTCCAGGATGATGATTTGACAAACTTGAATTTTCTCTGTATAATCTTTTTTTTTAACGTAAGTATTGTCTTTTCTGAAAATTGGTTCTGGGGCAAAAGATTTTAATGAACATTTCATTATAATCTTTCTTTTTTTATTTTTTAATTCTATCCATATGAAAGGTGAATTGTGCCTTCTTTTGAAAAAAAAAAGAGATTTTTTTCATATCCAAGGATGTTTCATTCAAATTGGTCCAAGCATCAAGACCATAAACTGAGAACATACTTATGTCAGAATTTTAAATAGTATAAATTTTAAAATGATTTTGGAAAAAAACCCAGAATTTTTAATCATGAGTTTGAATATAAATATTAAACGCTAATGCAAATTTTTAAATATGATAGAAACTGAGATCTTAAGATCTAAAGTTTGACTTATATATTCTGTTCTTAGTTTATGGTCTTGGAACCAGATGTTCTGGAGAAGACAAGTGGAGGTGTAATATTTAACGACAACGAATGCCAACGGATGAAGGACAAACTTAGAAAAGAAAGAAGAGATCATTGGATCCTCTGATTCAGGCCAGCTAAAAACAAAAGAGGCTTGCAGAGATTGGTAAGTAACACATCATTTTTTCATTCTTCTTTTAAGTTGAACTCACCAAATCAATGTAAGTTTTCACAGACACTAGAGACGCTGAAGGATTTATATTCTGACATTTTCTTTTGGCGTTTTGCCAGGTATAGAGGTCATTGGCATCCAATGGGTTACTGACGTAAATACATATGTTACCATTGGCAAACATGTGACGCACTTTGCCGCTGTCCTTTGGGCACGCTTGTCCTGAAAAATTTGGAATTCATTTTGAAAGTAAATAATTTAGATGTATATATAACAAGCCTATTGAGATATTCACTACTGCGAAATACAAACAAACCAATTTAATATGTAACAATCCCCAGGGGGAAGGATTCGTTTATACGATCAACATTCAAGCTAGGTATTGTTAAGAAAAGATTTAACACTGCTAATAAATTACTGAATACTAAATATGAGTTTGTGACGATTGCATCCTTACTTATAATGGTTAACAAGTACCTAGTGGATACCATGTACTACCAAATGCATCCATACGTATATACAATTATAAATGTACCTTGGGGAGCCGGATACTGACAAATATATCCGTACTTATTGTTACAAAAGTCGTCCGAGAAGCGACCATATTGGTTTACACTGCCACAGTCCTGGTTGTCTGCATCGTCTGGTTCATTTTTCCAGTTTCTGGCAAAAGTAGATCATATATCAAATTAGTTTAGAAATATGAAAAAAAAAATGCAGTTTAATGCTCGTATGTAATCTTGTTAGGCATCTGTGTATATGAAATAATATTAGAGGGTGGGGAAAAAAGAATGACTGGAATTTGTCACACCGTATTTTCTAATACTGTATATAATTTTCTTATTAATGAATATTTGAGTTATGAAAGGAAAATACTGTGGTCTGCAGATACCGTGTTTGTCTCAGAAAAATAAGAAATATATTAAAATATATGTTGTTTTTATTTTCCCCACTATTTTTTTTTAAATAAAAATTCATAAATATCATTTCTTAAATATTTGAGTTATGAAAGGAAAAAATGTGTTCTGCAGCAAGAGAATGAAAAAGAGAGAGAAGGCAGTTGAGCACTTACATATTGGATGTTCCTGTTTGCGTGGTCCAGGCCCATCCCTTAGTGGGGGACTTTTGCAGTCCCATGTACCAACCTCCTGTATTGTATACCTTGTTTGTTTCAGATTCTACATTAACCCAGTCCTATGGACAAAAAGGCAAAGTTTTAATTTTCAGGTTTTATCGGCAAGCTTAGGAATTTATCTGCAAGTCGGTTGTGTATCAACAAACATACATGTTTAGGTATGATGAAAAATGTTGTTGTTTTTTTTCTTTTAAAATCTAGGATAATAATAAAAAGGCTAAGATAGCGAACAGTAATCGATCTCCAAACAAACCTACAAACAATTTAACTCTATGAACAGGGCATAAAACTCGGATCCCTAGAAATTCCAGAGGTGGGATCAGGTGCCTAGGAGGAGTAAGCATCCCCTGTCGACCGGTCACACCCGCCGTGAAACCTATATATTGATCAGGTAGAAAGAACTCCGTAGTTAAATTTAATATGAAAACAAAGGCCTTACAAATGGTATGAAAATGACAGTCACAATAAGATCCAATGTCCGATAGGTTATATTTGCTAACAAGGTCATTATAACGACCATAGAATTTACGAAATGCTGACTTTAAACGAAGTTGTTGAAATCCCTGTAACATCAACTTATCTGTCAGTAGCCTGTCTCTGTTTTAAAATTGACCGTACTCAGAGCATGCTCTTGAGTATTGACTAAGTTTGGAGACATAAACACCATATGCAGGTGATAGTTGATATTACTACATAAGTAAGGAAAATTGACGATGAAAAACTAAAGTCATTTCGTTTGTCATACAATTTTCTTGTTTTGATTTTGTCGTCTATAATCAGTAAAACATCCAAATATGAAACAGGTGTGGCACACTCTTTGGTATCTTTTATTCCGAGTTCACTGGGATATATCGAGTCGACATATGAATGAAAGTAACTACAGTGTATTGTTTTAAAATTGATAAAAAGTCATCGATATATCTGAATGTCGAGTTGAAGTCCACAGCAAGTGTTTTCTTCTTCTCAGACGTTTTTAAATAAATTTTGCTTCATATGAATGAAAAAAATGGTCGGCTAATAAAGGAGCACAGTTAGTGTCCATCTGAATTCCAACAATTTTTTGGAAGACCTGGTCTCCAAAGACTACACAGATGTTGTCATTGAAAAACTCCAGCATAACCATGTCTTTAACAGATGCATTTTCATTATATTCATTATACGTTTGAGCATTTATTGTGGAAGGTTTTTTTTTGTAATAATTTAATGGGGTTTTTTCAGTTAACATGCACCTTAAAAGACACAATATTATAAAACTGGCAAATCAAATCAGCAAACCACGAGTTCATTCCCTCAAAATTTCATGATACCAAGGTATTTATATTTTTTTCTTAACTGGGCTATTTTTTAATAAATTTTAAAAGGAGTCATAAGCAATATATATAAGAGTGTATTTTTTTTTTCATTTTTTAGAAGTGTACATTCATCTTAAGACACCTTTAATGGGGGAAAAATTGGACATTGAGAAAATGATATCCTAAGAAGGTGTGGTAGAGATCATGTATTTCTTTTTTTTTTTTTACCAGCCATTTAACCCCAGGAAAAATGTTCAAAGAGAACGGAGTATTCATGTTGCTTATTTAAAGGTGGAAATTACGTCCATTACAAACTGAGTATTTACTATTATGCTGTAAATTTCCATTTTTATCAATTCTATATCAAAGGGCAGATCACTCTAACTACATAAATATGCCACAGAATCAGACCTCTTTAGTGTGCGGTGTATAGAAGTCCCTTAATTGATTTCAACAGGTAACGGAATGGCTGTAAACTGACACGTACCTCACACAGGTGAGCTAATTAACTATACCTGTTCAGCATCATCATTGATAACGAGGAGGTCTGCGTTCATGAGGTTACATTCCTGTAGAGCCCCGGCGTATGTTTGGAGATTGTTTGTCTCCCAGAAATAACAGCTATTACTCCCCTTCCGCTGTACCCACCCATCCCCGCACTGCTGGTACTGACCGATAAGGTCACCTAGAAAAAAAATAGGTCAATGTGGATATTTTGTTAAAATAATGATGATAATGGACAACAACTAAAAAGTACAGAGAAAAAATTTAGAAGCTTACATTATATATTGATTTTACTACGTCACATTACATTGTATATCTTTTAACAAAAAGTAATAATTAATTTACTTTATGTACTTTTATACGTCACATCACAATGTGTATATATATATATATATATATATATATATATATATATATATATATATATATATATATATATATATATATATATATATAATATATTCAAATTAATGTAGTGAATTTAAAACTATATTACTTATGTAAAGTGAAATAATAGGAAATATATATGAGATATTTATTTTAGATAAAGATTGACATGAATTCATTCATACCTGTCGATTGAAGTATCCACACCGATAATAAACAGCCTGTTAAGATTATCCATCCCCTCATATTTCTATAAATATAATGTAAATGACTCTGTGTGATATTACACCAGAGAAAAATAAATTATAAAATGAATACATATTATAAATTAAGTAAAAGTGTATTTATTAACCACTCTCTCTCTCTCTCTCCCTCCTAAATAAAATGGGTGCCTCAACCCCCCTCCCATCTTCCCCCGTAACCAACCTTCCCAAACTATACCTTTGACCACCATCCCTTGATATAAAATGACATGTTTTCAAAATCACTGCTCATCTATCGTAAGGTCAAAAACATCTTTTAAAAAAGATTGCATCGATTTTAATTAAGAATTACTGAACTCCTGTCCACAAAAGTTCAACATCTCCTTGCCCTAGGATTCAAACACGGGGTTTTCAGAACACAATCATGAAAAAGTATCAAGCGATGATGTCTCATTCCAGACTCACGAGCGTTAAAATTATTGTCTATCAAAGGTCTTTTTTGTGCACTTCTCGACACCCCCCCCCCCAATAAATTACATTAATAAATCTGTAAAATCGTGGAAACATTGTTCCCGATTATTTCTCACAATGAACCAGTAACCTTATGTTCTTCCAATTTTGAAATTGATGCATGCATGATACTAAAACAAAGGGGTGGGGTGTCAATAAATTTCAATAATTTTTATATATCATTAAGTATTTCTACTTACATCTCAACCCTCCCTTAACAGAGTACTTAATTACTACTTACATAGATCTACATATTGCTCTGACAGTAAAATGCAAAATATATAAGTAAATTATGTACCACACGTGTGCTTTAATATTTAACACATAGATAATGTGTAACTTAAAAAAAAAACAGTCGAAAAATATTTATGATACGTTATTTTGCCAAGAGCACCATGCAGAATCAAAGGTCTTACATACACATGTTGATTTCGTTACAAATGGGAAAATAATTTTACTTACCTTTAAAAATTCAAAATATCTCAATTTCCATTAAATTTATGAAACTTATTAGGTCACCTATCTCTTTCGGACCTTGATCATGATGGTTGATAACCGTGATATAGTGTGTGTAGGCGCGGATCAAACAAACAAAGGGGTGGAGTTGATACTACCGTACTACAGGTACAGTTGTAATTGGTTCCTACCCCTCACCTCACCAAATGAGATGTAAAAAAATATATATATTTATATATTATTTGAGAAATGTATCATGTTGTTTTAATTTTCCCCATTTTTTAAACAAACTAAAATGCATAAATAGCGCGTTATGGTAACATTATCAGATAACTTTGATAATGTCATACTAGTAATCAAATAACGTATTATATGTATAGATAATGATGTCTAAGTTGGTACACCTATAACTGAAAAAAAAAAAGCTATCAGCCAGATTACACTGTATACAGATATGAACTTCCCAGTATGAAAGGGTCAACAAATACATCTTTACAATGTCTAAAAGCATAATTAAAAAATTAACTATGAAACTTTGTAATAGAGACTGAAAGGTTGGCTTTTACCTTGACCTTACCAACTTTATTCAAGGCCACTCTACTACATCATCTGAATCAAATTTGAACAAAATAAGAAATACCTGTAAACTCTTAAAAAGATACCAGCCGATCATCAGAATTTACAGACGTTCTTTCAAACTTTTCAATCTATATTTCACATTGGACCCTGCAGAAATATTTTTTTTCCAAAAACCATCCAAGGCTATAACTTTTAGACTCATGTGGTACTGGAACTCTGGCCTCGTGTAAAATGTGAAGATATCGAACAGTGATCAATCTCATAAATGTAGTAAACAAAACGAATCGTGAACAGGACAAAAACACGGACCTCCTGAAAACAGTAGAGGTGGGATCAGGTACCTAGGAGTAGTAAGCATCCCTTATTGACCGGTCACACCCACCGTGAGCCCTATATATTGAACAGGTAGAAGGAGTCAAATTCAGTATAAAAGCAATGACTTAACAAATGGTTCAAACATATTAGACAAAATACGACCCAACTCTAGGTTTTATTTACATACGATTAACTAAGGTCACTATAATGATCGTAGAATATGCGAAAAGCTTACTTTAAACGGGGATATAGAAATCCTTGTAACATCAAACTTATTTGTCAGTAGCTTGCTTCGGTTTAAAAATTGATCATATTCGGTGCATGTTCTTGCGTAACGAATCAGCTGGGAGACATAAACTCCATATGCAGGTGATGTTGGAATATTACTACATAAATAAGGGAAGTTTACGATGGAAAACATGTCATCCAGTTTGTCATACAGTTTAGGTATTACCTTGCCATTATCGTCTTTAGTCAGTAAAAACATCCAAATATAAAACAGACGTGGCAAACTCTGTAGTGTTATTAATTTCGAGTTCACTGTGTGAACAAAAAAAATTACGTTGGAGAAAACTGTTATCGCTTTCATAATTATGAAGCTAGTCTTTAAGAAGTTCAAGAGTAAAGAAGATAACTGAACAATGAATTTCAATATTGGACCAATTTAGCCTCATTCTGAGTGCTAGCCCCTGGGGACTGTGTATTTAAAAAAAGCCCTACATATGTATATATAACTGCAATGAGGAAATGCCATAAAGACTGTGCACAATGGGAAATTTAGTACAAAAAAATCCATCACATTCTTTTCGTTAGTGCATACGCATGCTTATAATACACAACAGAATGTCCATTACATAATGATTTTTTTTTTAATTCCAGATATTTATCACTGTATGGTCCACTATGAAAATGTTTATTTATATATGACCTTTTCTTAAATTACAGGCCATCTACTTTTTTGATTAAAATACATAGGCCTGTTTTTGCAAATGAAATAAAATGAGCAAATTTCAGTGGGCGCAGTTACTTGGATAGCCCGATTCTTAGGAGTAATTTTTCAGATAAATAACCCTTACCCAAGTTTTAAAATATTTATTTCATGTTACACATTCACACACAAACAAGAAGAAAAAAAAGTGATCGCACATGTACACAAAAATAAAGCATAGATCCGCAAAGCTATTTCATCTCTCTGAGCTTCTTCTCACAGATTCATCCAAGAAAAGGAAAAGTGATGATTTACAATCAAAGTCATATACTGCACATGCAATATGGATAAAAAATATATCTAACATGTGAACTCAATATGCTTAAAATGTAAACATGATCATCATGTTCTCAATTTTAATGTTATTTTTCATACAGACATTTATAAACTGTCATTCATTTTGAAAATTAGAAAAAAAAATATAATATCAAAATTTTCCTCGCATAATACTTATTAACATCAACACATTTTTATAATGAAATCTTTGAACCACCCATCCCTCCCCCCAAAACCCTTTCAAAATACCAATAATTATAAAGTAAACAGAACTTAGTTTAATATGTGAAGTTACCGGTATGCATTTTAAATACAAAGTGGTAAACAAAGAAACAATACAAGTGCAAAAGGGAGGAAACTCTCTCTGACATCAAACATCATTCAACACCAATCATACACTACTCCATATATAGCAACAAAATATCTTGATAATAAATATGACAAATTATTATGTCACAAAACAAAGGAAAAACTTTCACCTCAAATAAAATTAATGGATTAAACAAAACGTTTCCCTTTTTACATTGTCTGAAAATTATATGTACACCATAGCTGCTTAATGCATCCTAAATGAATTTAAAAACTTTATCCTAAAAAAATTCTGTTCCAATTTTTTTCCCCTCAATTCCTTCACATTTAAGTATGCAACAATGCAAATTTATATTATTAATGCAACCTGTTTTATTTTCTTCTATTTCCACTTCATAAATTTTCATTAAACAGTATTTTTTTCTTTGTCCAAACTTCATAACACTGAACTATTTTGAACGTCTTTTTCAATTTTTTTCTTATATATGAACAACTGGGGGACCGAATTTATAATAATATTACCCTAAAATCTAGAACACTATACAAGTTTCTTGGCCTCAAAAAAGCTCTTAAGATGCCTCATCTGCCAAAAACCTGTTATAAGAAGAATGATTGTTTGAGCTATAGACCAATACAGAACTCGCTGGTTAGTGCTCTCCGAGGTCTGTCTGAAACGTTCCTCGCGATACTGAAATATCAACAGAAAGGTTAGTTACACAGTGTTCATTTACACCATACTTACATATACATATTGATAATTTAAGGATACATAACACAAACAAAAATTTGATGCATGGATTGATATACATTTTGTGACTGATTTTGAATCGAAATGACATAAAAAATAAATCCCTAAAATATAAAAAAAAATCATAAGTGTTCTTTGGTGTTTAGTTACGTGACTTTGTGTCATTTTCTACGTAATTCTGTACAAAATTTTTCAGTTTTATAACATTGTGACAAAATCTTACGAAATTCTCCCACGTTACCTGGCAAACATTATTCTGGTTACCAACTTGATTATAAATCTATGAGAAATATTGCCGATTTCTGGAAAAAGTTTGTGTTATCTATCCTTAAAGCAAAGTTACATATTGCTCATTTACAGTAAAGCATTTTTTTTGTTCTGTTGTACACACACAAGTTGGAAGTAATGGATAGGACACCACAAAAGATATAGCAATGATATATCAACAGAAATATTAGCTGCATACCGCTTATAATCAGCAAGTCATTTCTGTTCGACTCTTTATTCATTGGTGTTTATACATTACTTGAAAGTAATACATGGGACACAATAAGAGATACTGTACAGTCAAACCTCATTATCTCGAACTCAATGGGACCAAGAAAAAAATTCGAGATATCTGAGGATACAAGATATCCAGGGTAAAATACTGAAAGAATAAGGGGTTAGGACTTCAAAAACACTTTGACATATCCATGGTATTTGAGATATCAGTGTTCGAGATACCGAAGTTCAACTGTACTCAATTTTTGAAATAATTGTAAGTTTATAAGTTAATTACAGGAGTATAAAACTTAACATGTTAATTTGAGATTAATATTTATTTTTGATATGAGAATGCAAGAAAATATCTTGTCTTGAAAAATAAATTTCGTCCTCCGAGGCAAAATATTATTTCAAATGAATAATAATTTTCAGACAGATAAAATTGTACGACTCACTCTTTGATAATTTTGTTCTTTTGTGATCTGCTCCACTTGATCCAGGAGTTGTCGGATTCTTAGCTGGAGCTCGGATAATTTGTCTTTGGCCTGGATCTGTGAGTAATCCACAGCATGCTCTCCCACCTGGATATCCAGATGGACTCTCTGGAATAACATAGGTATTATTACATCATTGAATATGAATTTCCATATTAAGTAAAATACTTTAATCTTCTTCTGTAATCCCAATAATTCAGAAAGTTCACCCTCTAGATGAAATTTGTTGGGAACAGAATTTACAATAAATATCTACCAATTAGTAAAGAGACATTTTAGTAATTCCAAAAGCTTCATTTTTCTGGATAATTTGCTTGAGTACACATCTGGATTGATGAGGCTTAAAAGTACATGTATTATGATGACTTGCTAAAGCACATTACAAACTCTTTCACTGTTTCAAACCACAATGAAAACAATCTTGTAATTACTGCTGGAGATTGATGTTTGATTGAATAATATTGAGTTTTTATATTTCAACTACTGGAAAGTTTTACACTTTACACATCAATCCAATCACTTCAAAAGACGTTTATCTAAAACAGTCCAAGTTTCCTGACCCTTATGGTTATTGGTCAATTAAGTCCCAGTGGTAAACTTACCAACTGACCACTGGAAAACCAAGCCGTAGAATTGGAATGTAGACAGATTACATGTTCCCCCGCATTATGGGATGTGAAAGTGAATCGTCCATCTGCTGCATATGTCTGTAAAATGGAAAAAATTTCATTCAATTATTGTCTCGGAAAAGTTTTTTTAACCTATTCAAATAATTTTTCATATGTCAGAGTCATATATGTAGTATTCAAATCTATTTTTAAATTCATAAAGTAAATTGGTAAATGAAAAGTACTAAAGCATTCAGATTATTTACATACAAGAGAATGGATAAATTTTTCTGCAAAATAAAGATGGTGAGATGGGGAAACTTTATTATTACAACTGTATTTAATAATTACCTAGTCTTTCCATATATAATGAAAAAGCATGCACATAAAGAAAATAAATATCAATTTCAAAAGACATACAATTAACATGCAAAACAAACTGCAAGAGTTTCCTATGCAGTATGCCTAAAAAAGGTTTTCCTCCCCAAAAGAATATTCTTCCACTTGTGAAAGAAGTCTGAAAAAAGGAACAAAACTGTGGGGAAAAAATTGTAGTAAATCATTATTTTTAAAAATATGCAGCACCAGCTCCAAAGTGTGTTCCATTGTATCAAGCCATGAGAAGGAATGAAAATATCTACAATAAATATCTATAAAATCTACGAACAAGTTTGCCACTTTTCTTTTTTTTTTTTAATTAAACTTATTATCAAATTCAATAATTGATTGGATAATAACAAAGATATATGTTTTGTTTTCACTTCATCTATGAATTTTTGAAGAAATATAAATTTTGCATATATCTTTTTTTTCTGACAGTAAGTTAGTGGGTGACAAATTTGCTTCAATTAACGACTAGGTATTGGTGCACTGTTAAAAGTGTCAAACTCATAAATCAATCCATAGCAAGTGATAAGCAGCAAAAGAAAAGAAATTCAAAAGGTATATACCAGGAATTTATATATTATATTCATTAATTTTCTTTTTTGTTAAGACTGTGCTAAAAACACACTTCACAAATATATTCAGTGACCAGTAAATGTAGAAGTCCAAGTATTTTGGTTTTAGATGTAAATGTTGTGTTGGTAAGTTACTTCAACTAAAGCCCATTTCACCTCCATAATCAACTGGAAAGGACAGGTCAGAGAAAGGAAGCAGCTTTCTCCAACAGCTGAAACTCACCCGGGACAGGACAATGCCACCCTCTGGGTCCTTCACCTCTACCAACATCCCCACCCCCGGGGCAGAGGGCAAGTAGTCCTTAATAGTATAGTCATAGGCCTGAACCCTGTATGTGCCTGGAAGAAATGGGCAATTAAATCAAACTTGATTTAATTTTTAATAACATTGCATGCAACCAGTCTGGTTTGACAACTTTGCTGCAAATCAGCTCAAACTCCATTTTCTGAAAAAGGAAGAAACCCTGAGACATTAATTTTATAATGGCACCCAGGCATACTCACCATTGTTAAAACCTCTTCTGATATGATTATCAGAGTTTCTAAGCAAAGCCATGAAAGTGCCATTATATGTCAGCAGTTTTGGAACATCTGCTGTTTGCTCGTGGCAAGATTTCCAATCAAAACCAGTCAAAGTTTATCAATATAAACTGTAAAATATGTGGTCACTCTATCAGTAATGCAGAACAATCTGCTTTTTCAAAATTCATCTTGATTCATCATTTTCACCTGTTAAATAAATACCTTTTGAATTGATTTTGAAATAAATGTTGCCATGTGCTAAAATGAGAAAACATGCACTGGGGGGATGTCCTTGTTATTACCTTACCCGAGACATAACAGTTTTATCTTCTGGGTCAGTAACCTCCACGTGCATACCAAGTCCATAGACAGTTGGCACATAATCATTGACATTTCTGTCAAACATTTCTACTTTGTAATGGCCTGTAACACATAGCAAGATGTTGAAAAATGTACAAGTAAGTATAATTTTGCAAATGTAAATACAGTGTTACATAATTTTTTCACCAAATAGAACATTTCACTGAATTTTATCCATTTTTTAAGGTCTAACAAATTCAGTAATTTCGCATGAAATTGGTATATCAATATTAGTCCATCAACATGATCAGCAAAGTCTTCTCAGTACATGAAATTCTGTGAAGAATGGAACACATACTTCATAAGTTTACAAATAAATTATCATTACTTTACATACAACAGATCTATCCCTACCTGCCTGCAATGATATGAAATCTGTTACAAATACATCTTGACCGTGTTTGTATCAAAACAATTTCATGCAATGCCTTAGCTTTATAGTATATGTATCAGAATGGTTTACTGAATGAAAACTAAACCGGCGAGATATTATCCAAGATTCTCAAACAAATTCGAAAATACCTAAAAGATGACCATATTTTTACCGAGTTGTGTATTGGTTAACATAGTTTAAATGCAAAACGTACCAACAACCATAGTTTCGTCGGGAATTTCCTCAATGAAACATTTCTTTTCAGTTTCGCCGATATGAAAATATAGCCCTGATGTCAATGAAATTACAGATAAAAGGGCAAATGCCAACATGTTGTTGGTACCCATCTTGGATAAAATATTGAAAGGAAGTTACACGTTGGCATGCGCACTTGTTCGCCACGTAGCGAAGAATTTTTTGAATAGCGATCCCGATGTAAAATTTCAGAAATTATTTCACCAAACAAAATACAAAACAGAAAGAGAGAGAGAGCAAAACAACATACAAAAAACCAAATAAATAACAGAGTTTATTGACACACCCCCTGCAAAAAAGAACTTCATTTGTATCAAGCCATGTTATTTTTCGTAAATCGGATACGTTTCCATAGAAAATATGACACAGATTGTAATCAACTTATCAACTTGTGGTTGGGACAGATTATTTAATTTATTAAAACTTAACCCTCGTTCGATTTTCATGGAATAATTTTCCTCCATTCTATCTTAATTGTAAACACATTTTTATTTTCTTTGTTTTTTCTTTTCATTGCTAATTTATCTTTTTTTTTTTTTTTTTTTTTTTTTTTTTTTTTTTTTTTTTGGAAAGGAAGGGGCACAGTATAGTCCATCTTTATAGAAAGACACGTACGTATGTCGGCTCTAGTAAAATACTCGAAAATGAAAAAAAACAACTATCGATTTTTTTTTTCAAATGAGCTGGGGGGGGGGGGGGGTATGTAACGATTGAAGGTTCACTGACCCTTTGATAAGAGAGATAACTCCATAACTAGGATAAATGACTTTTTATTCCTTTATAGAATTGTTATTATAAAATGCTATTTCTGTCAAAATTTCACTGCAGATGGGCTGAAATTCTGCAATTCAATTATAAATTATTTGTTTCGGGAAATCTTTTTGAGCTGAAATAAATTTTTATATGAAAAATACAGAGGGATAAAGGTCCTTAATAAATTAAACGAGATATTCAGTTCTTTTCTGTGTAAAATGAGGTTCACGTATGCCTTACAAATATGCACATTGTGCTTACTATAACGTATTCCACAATAAATGAATAAATTTTAAATAAAAAAAATTTTACAGCTGGTCTATGGTGGCATATTACTGCTATCACTCGTCAGATTTTCATGTTGCTTCGTCCATGTTGTCAGATGTTTAATTATGTCGCCTTTTCGGATTTTTTTTTTTTTTTTTTTTTGACTTGCCACTTATTCACGTACATGTATTTAAAAACATAACACGAAAACGTGTCCATGCCCAATTTGTGCCATTCAGATGCCAACATATCTATATCACCCTCTAGCGAGTCGTCAATATTGTATGGCAAGTCGACATAAATATCTGACATATGCCATCATACATGTACAGGTCACTTATATAGTTGTTATACTTCAATGTGATTTACAATTTTTGTGTTAGTATACATGTACATCTATCTGATATCACATTACCTTAATGAAACAATGCGTACGTATGTTTAACACGGCTAAGCCTCAAACCACTTGACGCTATCCATTTTTAAAAGAAACAACATAATTTTGCTATGTTGTCTCTTCTTTTGTTGCACACACACACACACACACACAATGGGGAAAAACCTATATTTGTTTTGACATTTTAATTTTGAATTGGATTGGGTTGCTTTTCAGGTTCTTGTTTGAATATTTTTTACAACTTTTTGTATTTATTTTATTTCTTTTTATTTTTTTATTTACTTAAGCCAAACTCCAATCGGGTAATTATTTGACTCTCTCATTTTTTGTATGTACATGTATATACATTAAATTTACCCTCGAGTTGTCTACATTTTTTTACGTTGTAAATCGATTTGATTTCATAAATTAAAATAATTATTTTTAATCGCTTTGAGAACAGAAATTACATTTTACTTCAATCCTGTCCTGAATGTTAATTCGTATATTTTTTTCAGATATTACACCAACAGATATTACACCGGTCGGCAGGGGATGCTCACTCCTCCATGGCACCTGATCCCACCTCTGATGTTTTAGAGGTCCGTGTTTGCTCTGCTCCAAAATTTGTATTTTTTAGTGGACTTTTGAGCTTGAATACTGTTCGTTATCTCATACATTTAATACCGATTGACAGTGAGAAGTCCGCATTTCTTTGAATAGGAGCCAAGGCTATCCATACACGAATGACTTTGCATGATGCTATTAACATTCTCTTATTTGAGGACCCTTTCTCTTATAGCATTTCTGACAACCTGCTATGTACATTTTGGTATCTGCTTGCAAAACAGGTCAATAGAACTTTTGTCTTATTCGAGCTTATGTCTTACTTACGCCAAGATGTGTAGCTGTCCTCACATCGTGACAGAACTCGAATATTGTCCGTCTTTTGCTACTTGGTACAATAGCCTGCAAGCGGATAGTCTTTCCGTCTTCCTCTACAAATCTTCTATAAATAATGTCATTCTCAATACAGAGATTGTTCCACTGTGACCACAAAGAACGTACCACATTTCCTTGGCCACTGACCTAGCTCACTGTATTCAGGTCTTGCCTTCTCTTTGACCCAACGTTTGACAAGATATAAATCGTCGTCTTTGTTTTGCATGTCTTTCATCGACAAAACTGCATCGTCATCATCTTCCTTTGACCCACTGGATTGCACTATGATTCTCACTTCGTCTTGCTTGTTACTTTCCAAATCTTTCCCCCAGTTTGGATCAAAACCGCATTGGCGACATGGCACACGATTCAGTGCGTCTGCATTATACTGTGCTGGGTTCCTGGTCTGTGTTGTATCTCAAACCTATATGTACTAAGGATTTCCAACCAACGTGCCAACTGTCCTTCTGGGTTTTTAAACTTGAAAAGCCACCTTAATTAAGGAGCTATGGACTGTGCGGACTATAAACTTTTTACCATAGATCGAGGTAATGCTTAAAGTACTTGACAAAGTGGACAACTGCAAGCAATTCTTTTTGTGTAACACAGTACCTGCGCTCACACTTTGTCAGTGTCCGACTTACATAAGCTACAACTCTTTCTCGTCCATCAATCTTTTGTGATAAGACTGTGCCTATAGACACGTTGCTGCCATTGCATGGGGATAAGAGAATCTGGATGCCTTAATATGGGAGTATTGGTCAGCTTATTTCTAAGGGTATTAAATTCCTCTTGAAATTTATTAGATCAAACAAAGGCGCGACTTTTCTCTGTCAGCTTGTGAAGATATTTTGCAATGCTTGAGAAATCTTTGATAGGCACTGGCCACTGTTTTACTGCAGCTTTCTGGCCGGGGCGGTCGCTACACCTTCCTCTGATACTACATGTCCAAGGTAAGTCACTTTCTTGGCAAACAAGTAGTATTTCTTGGCTTTGAGTTTGAGGCCTGCATTTGCAGTCTGTCAAATACCTCTCTAAGGTTTGCCATTATTTCCTGAGATGTTTTGCCCGTCACTATTACGTCATCTAGGTAAACGTGACAGGTATCCCAGTGAAGGCCTACCAAGACACTTTCCGTTAGGCGCTCAAATGTTGCAGGAGCACAACATAAGCCGAATGGCATGATCTTAAACTGGAATAGTCCAGGACGTGTAGCAAACGCTGTCTTGTGTTTGTCGTCTGGCTCCATCTCTACCTGCCAATATCCCGAGCAAAGATCTAGGGTAGAAAACCACGAGCTACCACTCATCTGATCCAGTGACTCGTCTATTCTGGGTAGGGGATATGCATCTTTGATTGTACAGCTATTTAACTTATGGTAATCAATGCAAAAGCGGAATGTACTGTCTTTCTTTTTCATTAACACAATAGATGCTGACCATGGGCTGTTCGGTGGCTCAATCACACCTCTTTCAAGCATATCATTCAGATGTTTGTCAACTTCCTCCGTAAGATGAGCTGGTATTCTCCTTGGGGGTATTTTGATAGGATGGTGGTCCCCAGTATCAATCCTGTGTTTGACGTGTTTTGTGCACCCTAGTCTTCAGACTGTGCAAAAAGATTGGTATATTCATATAAAAATTTATTAACCTCCCTTTTCTGCGTTCGTTTCAAGTGGCTTGAAGTTTTTTCATCATAGCAACCAAATCAGATCTTAATTTCTTAGATTTACTTGCCTCCTCTTGTGACTCAGCTACTCTGACTTCACTTAGTTGTTCAATTACCGAACCTGGGTACATGACTTTGGCTTCCTCGTCAACATTAAGCAAACGGACTGGCACCCTCTCCTGTGGTAAGACCAGTGTTCTGGCTGTGACATAGCCTTCCCTTGGCGAACCACATGAAAAGACTCTACTTAACAGGTATTCCTTGGAACATGTTTGCAATCCTTCAAGACTTGTCCCGGCTGCGTGACGATCTCACTTCTAGGAGGTATGCTGACAGTTTCTGTTGCTGTTTTTCTGTTGCAGCCTATGTAGCTCTCCACAAATAGTGGTATTATCTTATCTCTAAAGTGAAGCACTCTCTTGCTCATGCCCACTGTACATGCTTTTGACAGTAGAAAGTCTAGTCCCAGTATTCCATCTGCCTGACTCTCCGCAATGACTGCAGTAGTGTGTACTTCAGTATCTTCAATATTAAGAGTCCGGTCCGTCTTACCCTTGACAGACAACTCACTTCCATTTGCAGCTAACATACTCTGGTTAACCTTCTGCAGCTTTGGCCTGATGTTCTCTGTAATTTTCTCATACATTGCTGAGGACAATAATGTCAGTGTTGCCCCTTTGTCAACCAGGAATTTAGCTTGTACACCTTGCACAGTGATGCCTATGTACATGCCCGCTTCGTCTATAGAAGATCCAACTCCAATTGATCCACTAAGACAGGTTTTATTTGGCGTCTCTTTACTTCGTACAGGCCTGCTTAATCCCCTTTTATCCTCTAATTCATTGTGTTCACTTTCACAGGGTCGTCTCTTCAGCTTGGGAAAATTGCGTTTTATGTGGCCTTCCTTGTTACATTCATAACAACGCAATGGTTTGCCTCTCGGATTTTTGTCATTGGCTCTACTGACTGACAGATTCAGCTTCAGCTTTTGGATCTCGTTGGTTAACACATTCATGTTAGCCTCCTTCGACTTCATCCACGTCTCTAGACTGGTCTGGCTAACCTCAGTTACAGATGACTGTTTCGATGCCGATACTCGTAGATGGCCTATTGCTATTTGGTT